AGTCAAGATCTGGGCAATGCTAGTGACGTCTTGATCATCCCATTGGTGGTCAAGATAAACTTGGTTTGTGATCCTCTGCTTCTCTTATGCAGGACTTACATAAAAGTTCAACAGTCCAAGCAGGTGGGGAGAGTTGCCCTGTGCTCCTCAGACTCACAGCACAGAGAATTGTGCCATGCTAAATGTCTCTGCTAGACATGGGGGTATTCGTATACGAATATCCCCACACAGGTGGTGGTAACAAGGGTCCAGCCCCGTGGAGCCAGACGGTCCACTCACTGATCCACTGCAGATGTGGACAGCATGATTCTATCAATGGCGCTGCAGCGTGCGATCCGCTCGCCACTGTTCGACCTTGCAGGAGTAGCAAGTGGATCACGCGCTGCAGAGCCAGTCATAAAATTGCACCGTCTGCATCAGATCGGTGAGTGGACTGTCCGGCCCCATGGGGCTGGACCCTTGTTAGAACCACCTGTGCGGGGATATTTGTATTCATATATGAATACCCCCCATCTCTAGTCTCTGCTTAAATAACATAGTACAGGCAACTTGTATACCTTCAGTGCAGAAATGTTATGGGAGAAATTGACTTTTTCCAGTTCGCTTGGGATAGGCAGAAACATTCTATGCCAGCAATATGTTGACAGTACTGTATCGGAATCTTTATCTCTCTCCACAGCAGGGATTTAGCTGATTCTTATCAGGAATTAAGGGCTTATCATGAAGCAATAGTAGCATATCAACCAAAAGACCCTTTGAGATTTTCCTTATTTACCCATCCCATGGTTAAGCTTTTCTTCCAATGCCTGGAACACTCAAAGCCTGTGGTTCCACTGTGGTTGCTCTTGATGGTTTTGCCTCAGTTACTTCTTAAATTCTTTTCTGATAAATCCATTTAGTTTTTTCATGTAGCATAGAGATAGTAGCCTTTCTGGTGGCTATTATCTCTATGCAAAGAACATGAGAGGTAATTGCTTTGTGTATTGGCCTTCTCTGCTCAACTTTCCAAGAAGACAATGTACTTTGAAGACATGACATTTTATTTCTGCCCAAGGTGGTGTTGGGAGTTCCAAATAGTCAGGATATTGTTGTAACTATATTTTTATTTATTTAATTATTTTATTTATATACTGCTCATCTAGCAACCAAGGCCACTCTGGGCAGTTTACAACAAATAACAAAAAACAACAGAGTAACAAAATAGCAAATAGTGAAATAAATACATTGGGGTGAAAATCAAAAATCATAAAGTGAAGTGAGGATAAAATTATAATACAATGAATACAATTAAAAGGATAGAAGAAAATAAAACAACACAACTACCTTCTTCCTGCCTGACACACCTCAGTTGTAATCCACCTTTCACTCTTTGGGTGTTAGAAGAACACTTTTCTTTGATGTTCATAGAACTTTCTATAGGACCCAGTGTACGTTCCTCAGTCACTTAGTGTTTGTCTTAAGATTTCACCAAATGATGTAAAATTTGGAAGAGTAGTTTTGAATTTTGAATAGAATACCTTTTTTTTTTTTTTTTTTTTTTTTTTTTGAATGTGCATCAACCCACCTCTGGTACATGAGCTGGTTAGTCACTCAGATATACAAGTCAGACTGCCTACTTGTAACCGGAATTGTTTGAGTTGTCATCTGTGAACTCACACAACTTGCCCATCTCCTCTCTGATGCAATTAAAGCACTGGTTCCCAACATTTTTTGAGTTGCAAGCAGCTTTTATACAGTAATAGCCAAGTAACCTGCAGCCCCACTGGCCACATATGCATAAAAATGCATTTTTAATGGCGCAAAGGCATCCCTTCTCAGAAAGTAGAGGCTTCTTTCTCCCCCAAAGGGTCTGTTTATCATACATACACATACACACTAATTTTAATATCCTACCCTAAAAAGTTAAGGAAGAAATTATTCAGCAAAGGCGACACATATAATGGAGGGATGTGGTGGCACTGTGGGTTAAACTGCAAAGCCTATGGGCTGCAATATCGAAAGATCAGCAGTTTGAATCCACGCAACTGAGTGAGCTTCCGTCGCTTGTCCCAGCTCCTGCTAGCCTAGCAGTTCAAAAGCATGTAAAATGCAAGTAGATAAATAGGTACCACCATGGTGGGAAGGCAACGGTGTTCCTTGCCTAGTTGCACTGGCCACATGACCACGGAAAATGTCTACGGACAAATGCTGGCTCTATGGCCTGGAAATGGGGATGAACACCACCCCCTAGATTTGCACACCAATGGACTAAATGTCAAGGGGAACCTTTACCTTTACACATATAATGCAACATGTGATCCCTCAGAAAATACTTTGTGACCACTCCCTTGGGGGTCATGACTCCAGGTTGGGAAACACTGAATTAAAGGGTGGGTGGAGAGGAAACTGAGGAATGCTTGTTAAGGAGCACACATTAGGTGGCGGAGTGTGATTCAGACCAAGAGTACTGGAATGTTCCAGACCAGTCTCTGTAAAGGTGAAAGACCCACATGTGTGAGTTTACAGATAGCCACTTGAAAAGCTACAGTTACAGGTCAGCAACCTGTTCTTCCTTCTTCATGGGGTTTAGGAGAAATATTCTTAACCTTACACATGATGCATTTTCCCACCTACTGCTGTATGTCCTTTGAACATACAGTTTGTTCAAATATTTTTTTTTTAAAAAAAAGTTCTGTTATCTGAGATGAATTCATTCCTTAACCCCATCAGTGGTTTATTGTGGGCCCCTGAAAAGTTTTGTCTCCTGTGGTAGAATTCTGGCCTGCAGTGAGCTGAGCATAATTAGTCAGAGCAGGTCAGAATAAAAGCAGTTGCTTAATGCCATTTTAATTGTCAGAAAAGAATTCTATACTTAATGAAATCACAAGTTAGAACTTGGGGTTTCTTTCATATTCAGCACTTCAGTATGTTCAGTATCTGTAACCTAATCATAGAACTAGCAGTAAATGAGCAGCTGAAGTATGTCTTGCCTAGAGTCTGGTTGTTTTCCCATCCTGCTTGGTTATTGCCTTTGAGATCACAATTCATATTCTTTTAATTACAAGACAGAATGTCCTTGAAGGACTCCCATAACTGGGGAGTAAAGAACAGCTTAAGACCATATTCATTATTTTTAATTTACTTTCTTACTTACATACATATGTCTAGAGTAAGTTTATATTACATTTTTATTTTGTCTTCTGAGGAACGAAAGTTTAAATGTTCTCCCTCCAATTTTGTTCTCACAAAACTTATGAGATTTGAACCTGTGTCTCTACTGCCTTCTCACCGCTATACTGCTGCACTCTAACCCACTGTACTGCACTGACATTGCTGTATTTCATTCCTCACATTCCAACCCAATGCAGTAGTTGCGAGTCTCAGCAATCTGTGACTACAACTTACTGTTCCATATAGAGTACTCAGTGCTCTGTACATAAAAGCCTATTAAGTTGTTCCTCTTGTGGAATTACGTAAACTGGGTGTGGAAGAAAGCAGTCAGTCCCACCCCACACACACATCAAGGGTACCTTCTCTGGCAGTTTTCTCCAGCAGATTTCCTTTATTAAATGGTTCACAGAGTTGAAAGAGGTTTTACAACTCATTTAGTTCATCCCTACTCCTGCTTAAGGCAGTCTATGTAATGCAGCTTACAGAATTCCTCTCAGCTTGTTCTCCAGATTCTGCTTACATCCTTCCAGCAAAGGAAAACCTAGTGCCTCCCACATATGTTCTAAGGCTGAACAGCTATTAGTGTTAGGAAGATTTCCCTAATGTTTAGCAAAAATCTGCTTCCCTGAAATTCCCACTTACTGATATTAGTTCTGCACTCAGGGGTATCATTTCTGCTGCACAGTATTTCACATGTTCCCTTAGATTGTCTCTTCTTCAGCCTAAATATACCCCAGCTCTTTAAACTATTCCTTACAAGAGACCATTTTCTGCCCCCTCACTAGCCTGATTGCTCTGCTCTAAAATGTAGTACCCAGAAAGTAGCATAGGCTGCGTGTTTACATAAGATTTATATACTTTGAAGCTAATTGATTAGGTGCTAGAGCATGTGTCAGTAGTGTGCTTGAAGGCATGCAACCAAATTACGCCTCAGTACTTTATCAGTTAGCTACAATTAGCCACAGCAAGTTATGCAACACTAATAGTCTGTCCATAGTGTTTCTAATGCAGCACAAAGTAGAACTGTTACATCCTGTGATATGGACACTATGTTTTTGTTAAGACAGTCTAAGGTTGCAGTTAGAGCAGTGGGCCCCGGACTTTTCTGAACCATGGACTGGGGCGCAGGGTCTGTGCAGGGTGGGCAGCCCCCTGCACTCAAAGGTGGGTCGGGTGCGCTCACAGGTGGGTGGGCTGCATGCTTGCGCATGTGCATGTAGGCAGGGGTGCTCGTGGATGGGTGAGGTGTGCTCGCGGGTGAGCGGGGCACACACTCACACATGCACAGGTAGGTGGGGCATGCTTGCGGGTGGGTGGGGTGCATATGCGTGGATGGGCGGGCATGATTGTGGGTGTGCATGGGGGGAGTGCTGGGGGGTGTGAGATCTGTCTCCTCAGCCCAGTCCTGCCAAGACCATGGACCGGCATCAGCCCATGGACCACATATTATTGGCTAAAATATACAAAATGCAATTTAAAATGTACTGTCTGTTCATAAAACATATTATTGAATGTGGTTAAAATATACATCAGTCATTAGAGATAATGTGTATTCCCTATTATTAATTTGTTTTCCTCTCTTTAATGTGGTTTCATCAAAGAGAAATGCCTCAGAAATCAGATTTGCAAATTAAGCCCACATTTGCATTTCCTTGGAGCAAAACAAAATAGAAATTTCATAGTGAAACCCTATACATTTTAGTTGGACATAAGTCCCATTGTATTCTATGGATTCAACAGAGTAAGTGTGCTTTGTTCAGCCTCAATTTTACGCATAAAACTAACTTTAGATTATATGAAAAATATCATGTTTTAAACTCTAGTTCTGATTTTATTTCTTTGTTTTGCAGTCCACCTAAACCAAAGAATATTGAAATAAACCTTAAAGCTTCCAAAAGCCTGGAAGATTTGGGAAATGGACAAGATTCATTAGACAAAGCAGTTAAAATTAACTTCAGTATTGCCAATAAAATATCTTTGTTTGAAAATAAGAATATTAATCAAAACGTTTCTGCTGAGGTCCCCGCTTCAAAAAAAGCTCCTGTATCAAATACATTTGTTGGAAGAGCTAAACTCAAGTTTGGGAAACAGCATGTTGAAAGTGAACAGACTAACAGAGTTACAAATAAAGCAAACAGCCGCCAAAAAGCATTGCAAAATGGCACAAAGGCAAGAGAAATCTCTTCGGATGTAAAAATAAAGTCAGAACGAAGGGCCCAGTCAAGTATTCTAATGAATGAGGAAGTTGGAAAAGCTGCTGAATCTGAATTTAATCAAAATGGTAAGGTAGATGACAATCAAGAGGATGTTTGCACTTCTGAAAAAGATGGTGTAGAATTAGCCAAGGAAAATTTGCTACCTAAAACTCCATCTGTACAACAGAGGGAAGAAATTGAAACCTTTCAAAATAGAAACAGAAGTATACAGGCTGGATCTATATCTCCTGAAAGTAGAGAAAATGATTCTTTAAACACAGGTATCTCTTCCCTAAGTAAAGATGAGAAACATCTCTTGGAATCTGATTTTGTGCCCAAAATATCAGAATCAGAGCATAGTGTGGCTCCACAGACTGAAAATGAAGAGAAAAGGATGGTGAATACCGTTTTGGAAAATACAGAGTTATTTGAACAAAACGTTGGTGGTCAGGAGAAAAGTCCTGGAGGTGTTTGCAATGTTCCTGAAGCTGGCAGTGGTGAAGGCATTTGTGATTCCCCTTCAGACATGGCAACATTTACTGAAACACTTAAAAACACATCTGCTTGTGTGCCTCAGAAAAAGAAAAAGGCCAAAGCTCCCAGATCACCAGCTCCTCACTTTGCGATGCCTCCAATTCATGAAGACAATTTAGAGAAAATATTTGACCCCAATGTATTTACCGTAGGATTGGGAGTAAAGAGAGATAAACCGCAAGATCTAGCTCCATCTCTTCAGCTGAAATTGCAGAGCTTAGAAACAGAGGCCAGAGTCAGGCCCAAACGAGCCTCTAACGAAAATAGCCTCATTCTTCAATCTCTGAAATTACCCAGTAGGGCTAATCCTAGGGCTATCCAGGAAATGAGTGGGAAGGAGAGCAAGGACGGTGCAGATGGCGACGTTAAGAGGTCTCGGCTGGAGAACAGTGCCATCTTCTCAAGCCTGCTGTCTAAAGAAAAAGTGTTCACACCATCTGTGACCTCTATAAACACAATCACAACTTCATTTGCCCCTGAGAAGGGTGTTGATTCATCAAGAATGCCTGCTTTAATATTTGATACGGCTCAGAAACCAGAGGTAACAAAAAAGTTACAGTATACTGTATAACATTAAAGTCTTGCTACTGTGTATTTTCTCAACTGTAACCAGCATTTAACTATCCATCTATCTGTCCATCCATCCATCCATCCATCCATCCATCCATCCATCCATCCATCCATCCATCCATCCATCCATCCATCCATCCATCCATCCACCTTACTTATCTTATCTATTTATCTTTTGTGTGTGTGTTGTTCAGTGTTTTTCAGGTTTCAGTGCTCCAAACTGTATGGAGAAATATTTACAAACAGATGATGCAAAAAAGGAGAAAATTCTACAAATGCCGAACTTTGGAAATCTTGACACCAACTTTTCCAACTGGTTGAAACCAAACCTCTATGAACCAAATGGTTTCTTAGATGTTGAGGTGGGTTTAATGTAATGTGGCTAATTTTAGAAGTCTGCATTGGTTTATTTATTTACTTACTTACTTACTTACTTACTTACTTACTTAATTACTTAATTACTTAATTACTTAATTACTTATTCCATTTATACTCCGCCTATCTGGTCATATTGACCACATGGTTTTGCATAGTTCCTTGTTCCTCTGCTTTCAAATTTGCATTTTTCCCTCCATTTACTGAAATACATATTTTGAAATTAGAACAAAAAGTGGGTATGAGTGGAAATAGCAGTTTGCATTCTTATAATTAGGTTTAATTCATGGTAAAACATTTAGTAAATATTGTTAAAAGACCGCTACTACCTCTCTTTAAAAACCACAGTAACAACTCTTTTAATCACATAGAACATATGATGTAACTAGGCAGCATCATTTTATCCTGTCTACCTAACACCAGCAGTCTAAATAGAGAATAATTTCTCATCACCTAAGAAAGATTATGATCATGATCATGAAATAAAAAACATCACTTTTAATATAGTCCAAACAAACAGTTCATCTGACTGTGATGGTAAGATGGTATAATGAGAATATAAACATTTTTAATTTTCTCATCTATTTTCTGCGAAAATGAATTAGCTAGGGAGACAATATGAGGAAGGAAAGATAACTAAAGTGGGCCCTCGACTTACAGACGGCTCCAGCTGCAAAATTTCACTACAACTTGCGGCTGGAGAATCGACCTATGGACCAGAAGGGGGAGGCAGGGAAAGAAAACCACCAAATGCATTTTTGCTGCTTCCCCCGCCTCCCCTTCTGGTCCATAGGCCGGCGATCATGCCTCCGGATGCCTTCCAGGGCTTCTCCGCCACCATGGGAGGCATCTCGGAGGTCCCCCCCTTACGGATTAATGGTTTTTCAATGCATTCCTATGGGAAATAGACCCTTGACCTATGGACTTTTCGACCTGCGGCCACTGTTCCAATACGGATTACTTCCGTAAGTCGAGGGTCCACTGTATTTGCTATCCTTCGCATTTAGCAGCATAATCAAGTCATTGTTCATTTCTAAATTTCACCTTCAACATTTTCAAAACATTCGTAAATGCATTATAGTACCTCCCCACTTCATTCTGTTATGAAACTCTGTTTATATTTCTTAAAAGACAGCAGTAGTGATACTCTTACTTATCTAGCTGAAGCAGCTAGAATTGGTAAACCTCTGCTTAGAGTCACAAGGTCATTCTTTTTCCTCCTCCATCCTTCCATTTTTTTCCCATTTTTTTCCTGCCACTTGCCAGTGGTCTGCCTAACTGCAACCGAATGGAATCAAGGAAGAGAAGGCATGTGGTGTTCTAGTAGTTGTGGTTGGGGTGATTGTAACCCCCCCCCCTTTTATTTGTCTGCTTCTTCGGGATTTTCAGAGCTAGAGGCTGCATGTTTTATTTTTATTTTGCCCTCTCTGGTGCGGGGGAGGTGCTTTCCCTATTTTACTGATTTGTTAAAATTTGTTATTTGATTAATTGACTGTGTACTTATCCTGGTAAAGGTGTCTGGTGGGTTTTCTTAGAACTCTTTTGTTAGGTGGTGGTTATTAGTTGTGCTGTTGCCTGCTTTTGGAGTAGACTGACTTATGCCTTCTTGTCTCTGGGTTGTCCTCCGCCCCCCCCAGTCACAGCTAGGGAGAGATGAAATGAGTTTATCTGAAAGAAGTAGTTTCTTTCATGTAAAACAAAGGGCCTGGTGCATGAAAAACATGAAAGCAAAAGGGACACCCTCTGAAAGAACTTGAAACAAAACAAATATAAAAACACTCATCATAAATGTCCCAGCTGTTTAGCACAAGTATCATTGGCTTATTTACTTTGAATGCCTTAATTTATCAGTGACAATAGAATTGTTTGCTTTAATCAATAGTAAATTGAAATAGTTGCATTTGAGTGTTTGTTCTTATCAGTTGTAAGGTCCCTGCATCTTCTGTGCAATAGTGTCTTTTTTGACATGCTGCAACAAGTGCAATAGGAGGTATTTTTAACATTGAACCGTACTGATATAGCAAACATTCATGCTTTTATTGGCTAAAGTTCCAGTTCATCAGCTAATTCTTCCTTGAGGTTCCGTGTTCATTCTGCTAAGGTTGCAAAAGGATAAAAAATGATGGTTGTAATGAAAGCATGTTGAGTATGCTTATCTGTAGCTGAGATATACTTTAATTGCTAAATGCTGTACTTGGGCAACTGGAAAGTGTGGTCGTTAGGATTTTAAAATATGCAGTGGTTGTTCCAGATTGTTTAGCCTTAAAGCAATGGTTCCCAACCTTGGATCCCCAGATGTTCTTGTTTTAAAATTCCCAGAAGCCTTCACCACTAGCTATGCTGGACAGGGTTTCTGGGAGTTGTAGTCCAAGAACATCTGGGGACCCAAGACTGGGAACCACTGCCTTAAAGATACATGGATATTTAATAATATAAAATACTATGAAATATGAATGTTAAAGTATTACAATACACACCGTTCTTAAGTGATTGAATAGAATAAATCACATTTTCTACTTGATTTCTTACTGTTTCTTCCCTTTTTCTTAACAGGCATTTTCAGGAAACAGCCAGAGTAAAATTAATCCAAGACCTGGAAAGGTACAATATGCCTTTTCCTTAATGAATAACTCCCCTCCCCAAATTTCCTTAGTAGACTAAAACAGGATGAAATGATTTATATTTTTTAAAATATACAGATTGTGATTTACAATAAACCGGATCCTTCAGAAAGCAGTATTGAAGTTTTTCATGATGTGTTGGATTGCACTTCTTGGGTACTGTCGCCTGTGATTTTAATTAAAATCATCCGAGGATGGTAAGAAAAGAAGACTTTCTCCCCCTGCTGTTTTTTCTTGATTCTGACTTCAGCTACATAGCTCTCTATTCCCATTCTGTCTAAACATGCTTTGTTCACTTATTGGTTGTATCCTTTCAAGTTTGGCCTGATGCCTGTTTTATAGCCTAACTTGATTGAACAAGCTTATTCTAAATTTCCTAAGACATGTTCTGACTGTTCCAGCAAGTATGATTCTTGATCTAATGTATGTAGAAACTTTATTGTTGATGTTGGTCATGTTTTCCTCTTTTCCTATGAATACTCTAGTAAAATCATCACCCGTAACCTTAAATATTTTCTTACATTTTACCTCATACTTCCTTATTTCTATTAAGATTATTACTCCTTTCTGTCTTGGATTATTCCTAATCTAACAGGAGTGCTAGATTAGGTATACTGAATGCTATGCATATTTTAAACATTTTCTGTAGCAGTGATTGAGCAGTATATATTGCTGAATTAGCAGAATATTATCTGTTTCTCATGGCAGAATTATTTCATCTACCAAATCCCTGTTGAATCCAGACACATGCAGGATGACATAAGCAATTATTAAATAACTTAAGAATTTCATATAGTCATAACAATTTGCTGACCAAGGATAGAATTGATTGAAATTTTAAAAGCCATGAATTATGATTATATTACTTTAAACTAGATTTTTTTTTTGCCAAAGCAAAGAACACAAATCCAATTGGTACAAATAAAACAAGCATGGTGTTTTGCCATGCATAGATAATATCTACAATTTAAAAGTTCTGTATTCATTTATAAAACTTCTCACCTTTCTACAGAGTATGATGCTATATAGTAATTACACCACAAAAATACAGGAAGGGGCGGGAAAACTTCTCTTTGATCTGTTTTGATTTACTTTCATTGATTTGATTGCTAGAGAATGGTAACATAGTAGAATGTGACAGAAAACTGAATGTTTATTAAGCACTTCAGAAGTTGAGACAGTTGGCTATGTTCCACCATGGTAGTATGGTTTTATACAGTCCTTCTACATGAAACTCAGAAGGCCACAATGGATGTTATACTATTCAGATTTGCAAGTTAAACAGACGTTAATTGCATATTGTTGGCTGTGGTTTGCTCTTCATTATGCAATTATAGCCACACACCTTCTCATGTCCCACAAGCTGAAACCTCACATACAATTGTCCAATGGTGTGCTTCATTCCAGTGCCCCAGCTCACAATATACTCATGCTTTTTGTGGGACCACTTTGCATACTGGGTGCCTAGAGAACAGCAGGCCATTGAAGAATGGTATAAGAGGGCCTTATTGGATTGGGAAATGGGTTGGGGGATTATAGTGCATTGAGCACAGCTACACATCTGGCTAGTGATAATGTTATTGACAGATCGCTTGCAAGGGATCTTCCTATGAACAAAAACTGCACTCAGGTGCACAGAAGTGATAGACCATGGCCGTAATTATTGGAAACTAAAGAAATTTAAAGATGTGTGGTTGGGCTGTGCACAGAATCCAAGGTACAGTTTTGTTGAACTAATCTAAATTCTTCTTTTCCTTTCCTCTTTTCTAGTTCTGTCCTTCTTGGCTTGTGATTCCTTCTAGTTCTAGAAGTATGGTCTTTCTTGTCCTTTTCATTGCTCAGTTTCCTGCCTGTTTCGCTTTTGATGCAGCTTGGTTCCACACAGATGCCCTGTGCATTTGATTGAAACTGTCCATTTCTGGCACTTGATCTGATTCCTGCCTCATCTATGGTTTTTTAATTAGCCCAGGGCCTCTCTTTCCTGATAAACCCTCTGATTCTGATATTTTGAAACTAAGTCACACTCCCACAAGTCTTGGCTAGAATATGTTCTTAGTTATTTCTGTCCCACATGAAGGGGCGGATAATGAAGTATATTTATTAGAATGTAGGCCAGTCATCTTCTTCAACTATCCTCTTGCTCAGCTTCAACTATCCTCTTGCTCAGCCAGCTCACAGTAAGTTTTTTGTTTTGTTCTTTGTCGTTTTGGTGCATAAGAGTATGTAAAACAATAAACAGAGATGATTGTTCTTTCTCTCCCAGACCTTTTTAGTTCAAAATTTCATCATAACAAAATCTAATAAAATGTTCATATATTAAGGATTATTATTTCTTTACTTCATAGCAGAGCAGTCTTTTGCCATTGCTGCCCTAGTATGTGAAAACATTGCATGTTAGTAACATAATATTATTCAACGTGGGGTAGTGCACAGAATAACAGACTGGGACTCGGGAGACCTGGGTTATGAATCCCCGCTCAGTAATGAAAACTCACCAGGGTCAGGGGTTTAATTGCTTAAACCACTCCTTAAATATGTCACTTATTTTGAAAGCCCTATTAGGGTTGCTATAATGCTTTTCTGACTTGATGGCATACAACACATACATCTAGACATTACTTGTTTAGTGTCCTCCCAACTAGTAATTATACATAGCTTACTTTCTTTTCCTGTGTCGTTAAGCAAGGGACTAATTGTAGTTTGTTATAGCAGTGTGGAAATTAATGGAGATAAGTTATTATATATCCTTTTGTCTGAGGTGATAGTTTCCAAACAGACAGTTTGAAAACCATGGCTATCATGCATTCCCTTAATTCTACTAAATATCCAGTTCTGCAGTTCTAATATGATGATGATTATTAGTAGTATCTCCCTTACATAGATAACCTTAGTACATTGAGAGTCACCTTTGGACTCAAAGATGTTGTCCTTCTATTTAGAGATATGAAGAAACATGCTGTGATTTCTTAGGCCTTGATTTTGATTCCCATAAATGTAACACAGATATTTGAGCAAATTATACAGAAATTCCTTTAACTGGAAATTTTATATTTATCTTTATCTAGCTAGTGCTTGCTCTTGACAATAACTGTGGTATTTCTTAGAAATCATCAATTTAAGAGCTCTGGGTCCTCCCATTTCTCTAATAAATTAAATGTTTCAAACATAAATAACAAAAACAAACAACAACAACAACAATGTGTCATCAGGTTCAGTTCCAACGTATAGCAACATGCCACTCTTCTAAGGTTATCTATGTATATTATAATATTCAAAAATAGTTTACCAGTCCCTCCTTCTGGTGGCGTTCTGGGAACATACAGCAGAGATGGCAGGGCAGGTAATCCCATCAGCCACACACACTGGGTGATTTCAGGTAGCCCCTGTCCCAAGAAGCACTGTGGTAATTCAGATTCCCCACATCTTGCTCTGCAGCCAAGTGTTCCCACCCTCCCAACTATACATATAGAACCATTCAGATTTTTAAAAATACCAGCTCAGGTTTTTTTTTTTTTTTGTATGTGCTTTATTTCTAGTTGGATCCTGTATGAAAAGCCAAACTTTGAAGGGCCTTCAATCCCTCTGGAAGAAGGAGAACTGGAGCTCACAAACCTTTGGGGAGAACAGCCATCTGACAGCCAAGATGATTGTGGATCTTCAGAACCTGCAATGATTGGTTCAATCAGACATGTAGTTAAGGCAAGCAAAGACTTGACTGTTGCAGCTTGAATTTGGTAGATCATATTGGTTCCCCACTCTTGTTAATTTCTTCTGTTTTTAAAGTGCTATGGAATTATACATTGATCTGTATAACAGTGGCCAAAATCTTGTTGCTTAGCATCTTAAATTACACTACTGTAGTAGTGTGATAGCCACCTTGGGTACTTTTAAGGAGAAGGGTGGGATAAAAATATTGTAAATAAATAAATAAATTCAAATAGGCCTACTCTTACTACAGCTTATTTTAGCATAGCAAATCAGAGTTTAGAGTAGGCTCATTGGAATCAATGGAACTTATGGAGGAGTTGACTCCCTAAATTCCCATGAATTCAATGGGCCGACTGTTGTGCGGTTTACTACGTTAAAGCAACAGGATTTTGACCCCATGTCATATTATCTAAAAACATTGCAGCATTTTGCTGCAATTTTCCCCACTGCATTGATGATGTTTTAGTTTGTTTAGTGTCATCACAAATAATCATTTTTCTATCATTTTCCTTGGTCAAATACATAACAGCATATATATATGATATATGAATAGCTTACCACTTTCATAGGCAATGCATGAAGATGGACATTATGTTACACAACTGCCTATTGGTAACATTTTGGTAAAATAGTTGGAACTATTTTGCCATGGTTTCATCCCATGACTTGACTGTCCAAAAATCTAGCAGAATGTGGGTAATGCCAGTTGCATAAGTACTTCCCACACAGGACCGGGGGGGGGGATGTCAGGTGGAACATCCCTACCACATGCTGCTGGGCTTCTCAACATAACACCAATATAAATAAACCAGTGGTTAAGTCCTTCATGTTTCTTAGGTAGAGAGATAAGAGAGTACCACAATTAACTTTTTATTTCAGACAGAACAAACAGAGAAGGAAGTTGAGAAGGGCATACTGAGGGAGTGACCACTTCCTTCCTTCTACCTTATATGTGCTGCCACCAGAATGACAGCCATCACCAAACCCCTACACTGAGTTGAGGTTGCCATTTAAATTTATAAACAGGGACTCTTTCCCCTAGAGTATCCCTTTACGAAGCCAGGGAAACAGCCAGTGTACCCTTTCTGCTGCTGCTGCTCAAAAACTGTGACAGTAAAAGTCTTTTTTTAAAAAAAACGAGAACACTTTTGGTAAAATATACATAACCTATGAGGTGATGCAGTCTTCACTGTGTGTCTCAGAGGTGTGCATAGTATAATATCTTGATATTGCTACTTTTATAAATAATAACCTTTGTTTGAAAACTAAAATATTTTGTTTAGAAAATATAAAAGAAGAAAAGTTTCAGAGTTACAATGTGTCAAGTATTTTTCATCACAAAGCCAGAAGCTTTCAGGAAAAAATATTGAGAAAACAGAGAGAAAGAGCAGTGATCTTCAGGCTTATTTTGAAGTATAGTTACAGATTTTTGCAAATGAATACTTTGTTTACATGTCACACAATACATATCAAATTCAAAGATGGCAAAGGGGATCTCTTTCCATCTTTAGAATAGAACATTCCTTGTATATCCAAGTAGGAAAACATATTGTTAGATAATACTGTATCTTGGGATATTGGGTCTAATATATGATTAATGGTATTAACACCCGTTTGAATATTAGTCTGATTTACAATAATGCTACTTGATATGTTCATTTTCATTGTATAATTTTGCCAGGATTACAGACTATGCCGAATTGACCTGTTTTCAGAACCTGAAGGTTTAGGTGTTGTGAATTCATATTTTGATGACACTGAAGAAACGCGATTTGTGTCTGCACCGAAAACTTGTTCCATCCAAGTACACTGGGGCATGTAAGTGTATGGTTTTTGTGAAGATTTTCTTTTAAAGCCTTTTATTTGTTGAATGCCCAGGTAGTCAGAAGGTTAGAGTAATGCATGACATTAAACTTTTTCCCCCTTCCCCTTAGAGAGTAACGCTCTTTTAAAGTATGAATTCATTACAACTCCTTTAGGGTAAAATGTAAAATATTTTGTATATCCTGGTTAATGTCTGGCAGAGATATTGTAACACATTCTTGGTTCTTTTTGTTATTATTTTTATTTATTTGTCCTGTTATTTGTTTTATTTATTTCTACTCAAGAGCAAGTCAGATGTACATCTAATTAAACTGAGGTTATTGGCTGCAAAAACTATGTGCCTTGAAATATTTTTTTTTACTAATGTCAGCAGAATAATAGGGAAGTCTTTTCTTTGCTACACCACAGGGTGGTAGAGAGATTTTTTCAAATTAATCATCAGTACATGTCTCAGCATTGTATTAGACTCACTGATACCTGTTAATTAAATGTGATAAATTGCCAAGATCCTCTTCAGAATGAGTGAGAACTTCAGAAAAGTGTGGGATTGGAGCCATTGTGGCATTACATTTGACCAACAAGGAATGTATGCTAAGAAGAGGGGACTAAGGTGCTTATCCCAGTGTTGTGCAGCAACCCACAAGATTTAGTTTAGACAGTTACTCAGCCATGCAGAATTTAGTCTAGTTTGGCTCTGCCTGATTCAAAGGCCACTTGATTCAACTATGATCTAAATAAGAATCTTCATTTGGAAATCTGTGCTTCCCTTTCTTTCATTATCATTTCAAATTAATAAGTAGCTACATTGTTCCTATAACTCAAAGAGTGATTCGAATCTGCAGAAATAATAGTTCTGTAAGAGGCAATTACTCCTGCAGAATTGCAGACAGATAAGAGCAAGATTGTTTGGCATCCTTTGAGGGAATAGCTGACTCCGTATTTTATTTCTTGTCTAGCTGGATGAGGTTTGCAGGAATAGCTGCTGCTTCTGGGTGAAATCAGCCAAATGTTATTTTCCTACATTTTTTTGGTAGTTGTTACAAGCATAGCATATAGCATAGAGGTAGCCCTAGCATTTTCTTTTTAATTTTTAATTTTTTGTGGAACTAGAGTATTCAGATTTGGTGGGAGAGGGGAAGAGTTTTGCTTTATTATTTCCAGCTCCATCCATGTCTTTTTGGGAGGCAATTCTTATAGATAGGCCATGTGTCACAGAGGTCTCTTGAGGTAAGAAAACTGCAAAATCTCAGAAGGGTAGATTCAGAGCCTAAGACAGTGGTTCCCAAACCTTTGCAACTCACTGCTCCCTTAAGCAGCAGTGAGGGATGCTGGGCAGAGCAGGAAGCAAAGACTCACAAAGGGGCTGGAAACAAAGCTGGAAGAGTAGCAGCATCATAACAGCCAAAAGAGAGAGAGAGAGGATTCCATTGTGCTGCTAGCTGATTTTGGCAGTGCCCTGCGGCACCACAGAGGCCTCAAGGGGCTGTGGCACACACTTTGTGAAACCCCTGGCCTAGGGAATTATGATGACTGAAAAATAATTCAGCCATTTTTTTCTTCTTGATCCATTGGCACCAAAATCACTGAAAGTCTGATAAGACAAGACTTGGCGAGTCTAGTAGCAGACATAGAGAGACTTGAACAAGCAGCATGTTTTTGTACAGGTGCCCACTGCAACACACTTCCATGTCCTGCAGACTTTGCCAAGATCTGTTAACATTCCTGCTCTGAAGGAGAGAGAGATATCGAAGAGCAATACTAGACTAGTTCTGCAATATATTGCTCCAGTTTCCCTCCCCTGAAGCACTCTGACTGGATCATATTTAGTTTTACTGTGATTAGAAATTAGAGGTACCAGTAACTCGAAAAATCCCCCCGCCCCACCTCAAGTTTTATTTACACGGGGCAGTAGGAGAAAGGCATATCAATTTTTGTAGGTATATTGCTTGTGTTTTTGTCTCATTCTGAATCCAGACTGCTAGTTCAAGTCCAAAGGGCTGATACTGTATTTTCAGGAGAATTGAAATAGTGATTCAGTTCATCTGGAAGGAGTCCTACTTTGATTTGGACATTTCCTGACGAAGCCTGACTTCATTCTGTTTCTGGCTGGATCCAAAGCACATCTCTAGTAATTTGCTTGCCTTGTATTTATGTTTAGGCATCACTGAAATATTTTACCACTTATTTATATTTGTGTAGAAAGGAAATATTTGCAGATATCATTGAGCACACTAAATGGAAAATTCATTATATTTTCAATCTACCTTGTAGAAGGAGAGCAAATAAATCCACCAAAAGTTTGTATAGGAATACACTGCAATTGAATTTTGCTCTTACTTCACTAAAGCTGCTCTAGCCACCTAGAGTGGTCACAGTTGACTAGATAGGCAGGGTATAAATGAAATGAATGAATGAATGAATGAATGAATAAATAAATAAATAAATAAATAAATAAATAAATAAATAAATAAAGCTAGTGGTCAAATCCTGTGACCAGTTGTATCCTTCTCTATGCATCAACTCACATGACTGGCATGTGGAAAGGGATACAACTGGTAACTTGTTAATTGGCAGCAATTTGCCACTGCAGAATGCCATTGCACTTATGCTAGCACAACTTACCAAGGATTCTGAGCAGTCTTTTTATGGATGAATAGACACGTACTTATCTGGGAACAATTCTTATTGACTCTGTACTCCTGAGTGAGTGTGTAGAGCTGCATTAATAACTATTAAAATCCAGTTTTCAAAACGTTTTTCATTTACTTCTCTCACTCCTGGACCCCATTTTCCTTTGCCAGTATCAGGCTGATATCAGGGAAATTTCCTGGATTTCTGAGGTACGCAAGTAGACTTCCATGTATGCAGTGAGCTTTCCCCTTTCTTGCCATCTAACTGTATTTCAGGCCCTCCCAAGATCGGTTCCAAAGGGTATTCCAAACATCCAAAGCAACATTTTTCAGGTGGATGGTTTTTATGGTTTGTTATGTGCTGTCAAGTCACCTCCAGCTTATGATGACCCTAAGAATAAGCAGTCGCCAAAATGTCCTGCCCTCAACAGCCCTACTCAGCTCTTGTGGATTCAAGCTTGTGGCTTCCTTTAGGGCGTCAGTCCATCTGTATTGTCAATTGTGTCTGTTCTGTCAATGGACTGTTATCACTGGGTTTCTCCTTGTCATTTCCTATCTAGGCTAATACCAGGATAGCACCTCCTTTGGAATTATATAAATTAGAAGGAATTCCACTCTAAATTTCTTACTATTTTCTATTTATAGATGGCTACTTTATGAAGAACCTGGTTTCCAAGGAACCCCTTTAATGCTGGAACCTGGACAATATCCCAGTCTATCATTTTGGAATAAAAAAGAAGCATATATTAGGTCCCTGAAGCCCTTGAAAATGGTGAGACGTGAAATATATACAGTGGTGCCTGGCATAGCGATCACTCCGTCTAGCAATGAAATCGCTTTGCGATACATTTTTTGCGATCGCAAAAGCAATCACTTTGCGATGTTCCCTATGGGGGAATTTCCCTTTGTGATGCTTGGTTCCCTGCTTCGGGAACTGAGCATTGCAAAGCAACGATTTTAAAACAGCTGATCGGTGGTTTCAAAATGGCCGCCGGGTAAACTGGCCGCCCGCTAAACAAAATGGCCGCCCGCTGTGTTTAGGGATGGATTCCTCGCTTAAGAGGCAGTGAAAATGGCCACGCTATGGAGGATCTTCGCTGAACTGTGAGTTTTAAGCCCATAGGAAAGCATTGAAGGGGTTTCAATGCGTTTCTATGGGCTTTTTTATATCGCATAGCGACATTTTCGTTCTGCAGCGATTTTTGCGGAACAAATTAACGTCGCAATGTGAGGCACCACTGTACACTGAAGGCTGCAAGTGTGATATGATAGCTGTACTTTCAAAATTCATTCTAAAGCTTTTGAGATTCTAAAGCACATTTGGATTCATATAATTTCTTCTGTTCCTTAACCTGCTTCCATTGTGATTTCCAATTTCAGTATTCAATATTTTTATGAAACTCTGAGGGAATTTAAAAGAAACATTTGTATTTTTATGCAGTGGGTTTGCCATTTTAACTTCAATACTTTATGAAATACAGTAAACAATAGCTCTTAACAAAATCAAAGTTAGCATTTGGGATTGGGTGTTGGGTTTTGTTTCATTTCTCCCTTCATTTTTTTTAGGGTGCACGTAAAGTTGAATTTCCAGAAAGTCCCAAGGTAAAAATATTTCTATATCTGAATGTCCTATTTAACTAATATGAAACATGACAAACATGTATCTCCCTAAATCCTATGAGTAATAATGCTGTTGCAGTCATTGCCAGCTATCATGTGAATACCTTTGAATTTACAGGCAATGCTTATTGCTGACCACATTTGTTAATTCCTTTGCCCTAAATATTTATATGACAAACTTGACTCCATAGAACCCTATCAAATGGCAGTGTTGCTTTTTAGAAAATAAAATTATCCATGTTTCTATGAGTAGAACAAATATATAAATTAATTTACAAGATAGACATTATATCATGTCAAGCCCTTGGTATACCATGGTACAGTATCTATGGTTGGGAACAAGATTACAAACTTAAATTGGCTTTGCTGACCTAAGAGAATAGTTATAGGCAAAGCTGGCCCCAGCATCACATCATCCATCAATTTACTAAGTTGCCTTTATGCTAGTTCTTGCTTTCTCTTAGCATCAGCATCCAACCTGCTTTGTTTCTAAATAACACTAAAACAAAGTGTGTGGTGGTGTTTTGACTTCCCTGGAAAACTGCAGACATAACTGTTCACTGTTATCTTTGTTTTGCTAAAGATTATCATTTATGAAAAGCCATTCTTTGAGGGGAAGCACATAGAACTTGATTCAGAATTAGTAGCTCTTGCTGTGGAAGGAAATGAAAAAGAAGAATCAACAGAGATCGAAATGGGACCACTTACCTCAATAGGATCCATAAAAGTGAAAGGAGGAATGTAAGTATCAAGAATATACACAGGCATTTTTATCTGAGAGCTACTGTAGTATGGTCACTGTAGGATATAGTGGCAAGAGTCCTACTGGGGTTTTACTCCAGGGTAAGTGAAATAGTATGAGTTGCAGAAGCAAGTCACAATTAATTATCATGGCATCATTTCCATGTCTGGTTCCATGCTTGGTCACATAGACGATACACAAGCATGCTGCTGGAACATCATTAATTAGCTGCAAGGTGTCTGTTCATAGCATGTACCTCTCATGGAGGATCGTAATTTGTCCAGAGTCAATTATGAGTGCATAAGATGAACAAAAAGCCAAATAAAAATAAAGATTTCTTATCATATAGCAGGGAACATAAACAGCATATGCAGGATTGAAGCCAGCCATTCTTGAGAGTAGACCAACCAAGATCCATGAAGCTAAAATAAGTGACAACTAAAATCTTACTGATTTCGTGGGTCTGTTCCATGTGTGCCTTAGTGTGAGTCCAGCACATAATATGCTCTTTTCCATATTTTCCTCCTATTTTCCATAACGTATGGAGCATTCTTAACACTTCTATGTTTTGAGCTTTTTTGATAATTATTGGTGCCCCAGTAAATGTTTATTCCACACGAATACTGTGGAAGCAAGAGATCTGTTAAAGAAGCCTATTGAAAATTAGACTTCTTTCAGGTAAATTTGTATAACCTATTAAGGCCATAAAATGAATGGCCCTTGTTATTAAACATGGTATTTGACTTTTAGAAGGTGTATAGATTAGGAAATGCCTTTCATTTGTGTTGCTGCTAATAGCATAAAATTCTGCGTTTACTTAGCTGGATTTTATGGGACTTGCTTCTGAGTTGATATATATAGCATTCCATTGTTCAGTTTCCCAATTTCAAGTGTACAATGTTGGTGTTAGGCACTTTTAATTCCATTTATTTCAACAGGCAAATTAGGTAATTAGTGTGTAATCTTCCACATTGCAGTCCTGGGTCACATTCCTTAATTTGTTGTGAAAACTTATTTGAATTTTCATCCCCAGCTTCTTCCCCCACCCACCCACCACCGATTTTAATTTTTGCTGCTGTTGCACTAAGGTAACAGGTTTGGTTCGTTCGTTTTCCCATTGTATTTGCATTTATAGATGGGTTGCCTATGAGAAGCCAGAGTTTGAAGGGCATCAGTATTTACTGGAAGAAGGAGAATATCAGGAATGGATGGACTGGGGTGGTTACGATGAGAAAGTGCGATCACTGCGGCCCATTCTAGGGGTGAGTTTAAAAATGTGTAATATAAGTACAGATTGAAGAAAGATGTGGTGTTTTGCTCTTCATTACATTACTTTATATATGAACTCTTCACCCCTCAAAATTCAAAGTGGGAAAAAGAAGAGATATATTTTTCTTTCTTTTATCTTCTTCACACCTTTCTCTGCTTCCCCCACCTCTCAATTCTACTAAAATGAGCTGCCCATGGAAGCAGTTTATCTGTACAGTTGTGTGCATGCCTGTGGATATTCATGTGAGTGTATCACTTGTTGGTCTAAATTGGAGGGGGGAAAGATTTGGAAGAGATTTTCATGGGAAAGAATTTAGGCTGAAGAGGTCCTTTTAGGTGTCAGTTGGATCATTTAGGATCCTGTAAATCATGGAGGCAATTAGAAAACAGAACCCTCATGTTGGCAAGTGCTCCCATGTCGACTTCCTCCTTTCTTCTGGCAGGGCTTATACAGACCTGATTCCAGATCTGTATAAGGAACCTGGGCCTTTTTTAAAATAACATCTGCTTCCTCCATTTTTTGTGAACTTCAGGGGTCCTTCTGATGTTTACTCCTTTCCCCCATACAGTACACAGTTCCTTGCCTTGTTTCGGTACCCACTACATCTACATACAACACATAAATTGTGAATAGGAGATGTGATGTTCTTCAGTTGCATTTTTGTGCCTTGATGGTTTCTTATTTGTTCTGTCCACAGAATTTTGCACAGCCTCACATGATAATGTATGCTGATAAATACTTTGGGACTAAAGGGAGCAATATAAACGTGCTAGGAATCATTCCCAATTTAAAGGATACTGGCTATGGATTACGGACACAATCCATTAACGTCTTAAGTGGAGTGTAAGTCAGATACCAAGCTTCATTTTCATTTTTATGGCATCAGTTAGTAAATACAGAAGCATAAAGAACTATCAGTGCTCCACAAGCAGGGTGCATGTTGTCTTTTTAAAATCCTGCTTGTGTACCTGCAGTGTATATGTTCATTTTGAGCACACTTAGAAAAAGGAAGAAAATTACATTAGTAGAGTTTTGATCCATGACACTCATGTAAAAAAAATGTTTCTTTTTAATCATTTAAGGATATATGTGTTGATAGGGTTTTATAACTTCCTTAGTGCTCTCTTCCTTTCTGTGACAAAAATACATGATGCCTTGCTCTGCCAGTTTGTGTGTGACTAATGAATATAAATGGTTACTTTTATTGGGGACTGTGTCTGTTGTTCTATCACATCAGTAGTAAAATGTCAGAAAATTTAAACTGACAGTTGTTACACCTCAAACATCTTTGTCCAAATTCAACAAGTACCATGTTTTTAGAAAACATGTTTCATGGAGTGACTATACTGACAAATAAGGTGGGAAGTGCTCCAGCATTGAGATGGCCTGATTCATATGATTTTCCATTGACTCTACATGAGATGCAAGATGATAATATGTATTAGCCTGGAATTTTTCCCACCTAACCCATACTACTTTTTTCCTCAGTTGCTAGGGTTTCTACTTTTTTAAAAACTGGATGAATTTGCATCAGTTCAAACAGTGCGATAGCTTGTGCTGATGTTGGCCGGTCAACCAGGTGGCTTTCCCAGCCTCCTAATTCAAGGAGAGAAAAACAAAGGGGCAATCAAAAGGGTTTTCCGTTTCTCTCAACCAGGTCTCTCTAATCTCAAAACCATTTCTTAAGAGTTTAGTGCATGCACAGGTGCATTAGGGCACCTGGAGACCAAAGAGGGGGAAAAGAGTGAGGAGAATTTCTAATTGGCACCTTGCTAAGGTCACTGTTTGCAACTTCTATGCAAATTGTTAAGGTAATTATGTAGCTGTGCCAACTGCAAATCTGGGCAGTCATAGCAGAGCTACCTTAACAAGCTGCAAATAATGCAGACTGTCAGTCCCCCTCACTTGCCCACTAACTCCTGTGTTATTGGTTAAAGTGAATTCGCTTGGGAAAACCTGGCATCCCAGGTACCATTTCACAGCAGATCCATTTGCATTTCTCCCACTGTGTGATGACACCCTCAGTTTAGATTTGAGCAGCATGTGTAAAGCTAGAGCAAGAAAACAACTTGCATCCATCAGCTGTGTGTAAATTCTGAGGGCAAACCAATTTGCGGAATTCATAGGGTATGATCTAGCCTATGTTAGCTGTACTTCAGTGAAACTCAATAAAGGAACCTGTGACCTGGAGTTTGCAAGAGCTGAACAGGGCTAATAATAACAAGATTTTTTAGAGCTCATGAATTCATAAAGTTCCTATAGGTTAGAAGCAACATGATGGCACATATAGATGGAAACTATAAACATGCATTTTTATCCACTTGCTAGTACTTATGCAGATGTTCTTCATACACAAAATAAACTCTCTTTCATTTTTATATGTTGCACATGTACAGAATGTACATAAGGACTTTCTCTGGGTTTTTCACTATCTCACATACCATGAGTGAATATGTGAGATATGACCCTTCTATCTGTGGAACTACAATGTTAAATTCCTGAAAGCTACTCACTCTTCCATAAGTCCATAGTACAGGGGCATGTGTTTGTAGTAGGATTAGCCTTTATATCTAGGCTATTTTGGGGACTTAGATTTGTAATTTTTTTTCTGTTGTGTTATTCTCTCTGAGGGGGTCTTTATATATAAATTGTAATGCAAGTTATTAAAAAATCAGACATCCATTCTGTGAATAATCACTTCTACTTTGGAAACATGCAACACATACAGTGGGGTCTTGACTTGAGAACTTAATCCGTATTGGAAGGCGGTTCTCAAGTCAAAAAGTCTGTAAGTCAAGTCTCCATTGACCTACAGTGCATTGAAAACCGATTAATCCAGTAACAGGCCATTTTTGTTCCATTTTGGTTTTTTTCTGGTCTGTAAGTCAAATCTCAGTCTGCAAGTCAAACCTAAATTTTGCGGCCAGAGAAGTCTGTAACTCAAAAAGTCTGTAAGTCAAGCCGTCTGTAAGTCAAGGGTCCACTGTACCTGAATGAAAGCACTTTTCAGTGAATTATGATGAGAGCGAATTAAAGTCCAGCAACATCTGAAGAGCCATAAGTTGTTCACCCCTCCTCTGCCACCTGCTGGTTACTATGTTTCATGTTCCTGTCTACCTACAGTACTTGTTGTATTCTCATAATTCTCATAATTTGTTATTCGAATGTTGATGGGCATACTGTGAAAAAAATGTATTTGTGACTGAACCTGATTTTGTATTTGTATAGACAGGGCTGCCATATATGTTTCTTGTTTTAGCAATGTGTCTTTCAAGACAGTGTGAGGGCCATACCTCCAATTAGACCTGGTATTGAGCCATTTAGGACCTGTTTGCTTAAGACATTTTTCCTTGTTCCACAGCACTGTGTGTGGCTAACATAAGTCAAGAAATTTGCATACAAATAATGACAAGGAAGAGGGGGAGGAAACTGTCTTGGCACCAGACTTAATTTTCCTGGAGATGTTTCTGTAGAATGCAAAATCAAACACTTATTTAGTTGTTAGCACAGTAGTTCTCAACACAGAATACTATAATCTCTGTTTTCATTATAAGTGACTGTTATTACTAGCTGGATAGCCTACTGTTTGCAGAACTGAGATACTAACCAAACCAGATTTATTTTCAGACTTCCAAGTGTATGTGATGTTCCTGTGTAAACATGTTCCATTGCTGACTAGACTTTGTGGTTCATACCTCTGTCACTTTGACTAAGCAGCTCACAGGGCAGTTTGGGTGTGCTCATTAAAAAAAATTGCTCCAAATGACAAATTAACAGTGTGCTGCATGGATGATTAAATATGAATCAGAAGGCAATAGTGGGCAAAACATATAACGTTCTCATAATGACACTTTGTCAAAGTCATGTTTCTAGCTGGAATATACTGTATGTGTTGAATTATACTTAAAGAATTGGTTATATCTAGCCTTGTCTGGGATTGAAAAAGATAAATGACTGCCATTGAAAACAAGAATTAATATGTTGGTGAATTCATATACTGCATGTTTTTGAATGCATCCTTTTCCATGTTTAACATGAAGAGCAGATAGGACATATTTGGGCAACCTGTGGGCCTGTCCCTCCTCCCCATTACACTTTTATTTCAGAAAGTCCCCTCGTGCCACTTCAGGGCATGTAAGGCAATTCTGCTGTGTTTGGGGAAGCTTCCTTCCAGTATTTCCAAAATAGCCCATATCTCTAAACAAATTAAAATTTAAAGAATAACTACAAGGTGGAATAAAAGTGGGTTCTTTGTTGTTTCTGCTTTTTCACTTTTTTAAAGTTAAACCCATTTTTCAGTTAACCCTTGATTGCAACTAGAGATGGGAGTATTCGTATACGAATATCTCCCCACAGATGCAGATAATGAGGATTATCTGGGGCCGGACCAACCACTCACCATTCTGCTGCTGCTGCGGGCTCCGCACTCCCTTCCTATCGCTCTGGAGCTCATGATAAATTAACCACTCTTCGACCTGGTAGAGAGGCACGTCATTGTGCTTTGTGCCAGGAGTGGCTAATGCACCATGAGCTCCAAAGCAATAGGAAGCGAGCACGGAGCCCACAGCAGTGGCAGAATGGTGAGTGGTTGACCCAGGGGGCCAGACCTTAGTTATCTGCACCTGTAGGGGAATATTCGTATTCATATACAAATACCCCCATCTCTAGTTGCAACTTTTACAATAAAAATTGGCCTCCTTAACATTACTCTCCCCTTCAGATCATCTCCCTTGCCAGTAGAGCTCTTGGACTGCCAGCAAATTTTAAGAATGACCCTCAACCTCCCTGGTTGCCCACATCCATATTACACCATGTAAGACTTGAGATGTATGACCAAAATAACACTCCATAAAAGTAAATACTTGGTCTTTTATCTCAGAGTTATTTGCTAATATACCAGATTAAACAAAACCAATTTTATGTCCACAGTATTAAAGTCAGAATAATGGTGTCAGACAAAAAAAACCCTTAAGTATAAATCAATAACATTCTTCATCATTTTTTACATATTTCTGTCTTTATATTGCTATTGTGATACTAATGTTTGTTACTGTGCAATATCCCTACATTATGAAATTCTAGCACAAGGAGCTTGTAAAACCCTAGTAAAATAAGATTCTCTTATTTTCTAGGTGGGTGGCTTATGAAAATCCTGATTTTACAGGAGAGCAGTACATTCTTGATAAAGGGATGTACCCCAGCTGTGAGTCTTGGGGAGCTCTGAGTTGTAAGATATCGTCAGTTCAACCCATAATTTTGGTAAATAGATTTTCAAAAAACTTTTATTTATTATTACAGATTATATTTTTTCCTCATATGTTTATTCTTTGACTAGTTAATTGGTGTATCTTTGTATATTTCTAACATAATCTTTGTTTCTTTTATCCCTTTGTTTTTCATGCATTTTAGGACAGTGCAAGTGATCATACAGGGAAATGTAAGGTAAAATTCCAAATATCTTGGAAATCAAATATATAGTGGAAGCTGAATGAATAATACAGTAGACTTTGGGATAGGGAATATGTGATTTTCTGTACGTTGTTGGGTTGCAGTTCTAATTAGCACAGCCAATGGTGATTCTAATTAGCAAAGCCAATGTGTCTCACTCTAGCCTAGAGAAGAGATAGGAAAGAGAGGTAAAAGCACTTGTAGTTCACACAATTGACAGAAAAGAAACTACAAAAAGGGTGAATATATATCTGAAACCTTGTCAGGGTTTTCCAGAGAAATGTGAAATGGATACATTTAAAACTTTGACTACCAAATCTTTGACCACATGTATTTCTAGAAGGTGTTCAGGCTTGGACTTTAGCAAAGATCTATAAGAATAATGCCCCTTCAAAGAATTTCCAGATTCAGGTCACCTTTGAGGTTGTGTCTCTGTATGATATTGTGATACCAACTTGGTCTACACATGGAATGGTCATAGACATTGTTTTAGTTTAACCTAAAGATACTGTAATTCAATCAGCACAATTTATAGCAGCAGAGGCAGTACGTGTCTAAAGCTGGCTTCTTAATTGCCTCATTTCACTGCTGAAATTTACGCTGATAGGAATCACACTGGTATAAATTTATATTAGGTTTATGGCAGCATGTTTATAATCTATATAATTTTGGAATTTGGGCAAAATCCTTCCGTATGCTGTAAGTCAAACAGCATAAATCTCAGCAGCAACTAACTGCTAGTTATGAAATTGTGCCTTTTATTCATCATAACATGCCAAATCACATGATTGACGCACAACAAGGAATACAAGTTTGGACTCCTTAACTAGCAACAATTCACTAGTGCAGACGATACTGTGACTTACACTGGCTGGATTTTGGCTAGCATTTGCATGGATCACAATCCTGGTGGGGAAAACTGCATACATAGGCAGAATCACAGAAATCGTTTCCCTTTTTGCTCACAGCCTGTCATGTGACAAAGGTTTGCCACCATTTATTCTACCAGTGGATGAGAGGGATTTGGTTACACACTTCATAGGGCAGTTGAATTATGTCCTTGGTCAAGTGTGGGTTTAGAATCAATTTGATGGCTTGAGTGTATACTTTTCAGTTACAGGTAGAATTTGCTTTATCTTTAAAGGTCCAATTATTTTCAGAACCAGACTTTCAGGGTGACTGTCAAATATTCGAGAAAGACATTTCTCAAATTGAGGACACATTTCTTGTCAAGTCTTCAAAAGTGTTATCTGGCAGGTGAGTACAAAGCTGTATCACTGAACTTTAGCCAAGAAGATTGACTGCTAATGGGAGCAAGCTTCTGAGTGCAGAACAAATATAGATCATCTGGCCTCCACTTTGTTGGCTGAATGGATTTTCTGAGTGCAGCCTATGTAGTCACTGGGGTCTGTGGTTGTTGTATGCCACAATAATTGAAGCACAATGTCCTTTTTTTTAAAAAAAGCAAAATCCTAAAAAGTAAGGGAATGACTGACGTTGAAGATAAATTAAAAAAACAGTAGAAGTAGATTTCACATTATCTACCTTAAGAATAAGTGTCTCAGAATGCAATGAATGTATGTTCAGATTACTTCCTCTGCACTTTGTAGTGTACACATATTTACTATGAGCTAAATGTAAATGTAAAATATAAAAAAAGTTACATTTTATATATTTGTGTCAGCTGAAATCTTGTTGGCGTAACTATGCCTCTGAAAGGGCAATCTTTGTAATTAAAAACTTCCTACCTCTGTCCCGCAGTTTTTCTTAATCCCATGTAATGTTTTCCATTATGTGGATGGAAGGAGGAAATCTTTAAGTACCAGAAGTCACTCCTGCAGGATGACATTACTGCAGGGGAAGAGTTTCAGTCATTGTAGTCTTCTTTTTCCATAGTGTGCCTCCTGTGGCTTCTACTCACTGAAATGGATTATACAAGAGTCAGAAAAACTGTGATGTAGAACTCGGAAGTTTTTGATTAATGAAAATTGTGCCCTGTTCATGAAATGATCACCCTTCTTCAGGCAACAGGTTTTCAGCCTTTGTATTCTGTTGATTGTTTTGAAAATGTTTTTTTCCCTGTCATTAGCCATCTTTAAGGGAATGGGAATTACTATATGAGGTCCGATATATGCTACTTCTGACCAGCAATCTGTTTAGACTTTATTACAGTATACATTTTCATATTCTTCTTTTCTTGCAGTTGGATTGCATATGACAAAGAAAATTTTTCTGGTAATCAGTACGTGTTAGAAGAAGGAGCCTATCCTGATCTGCCTGCAATGGGTTGCCTACCCCATACATGCTTGAAGTCTTTGCAAGTTATAAATATTGTAAGTTTAAAAAAAAAAGGAATTATACAGCAATGTAAAGCAGAAACTTGACTTATTTCTGACACAGTGTTAAAAGATACAAGGATGCAGGGTTGGGTGCAGAGACAACCAAGGAAGTGGTACTGTTGTGGGCACTGCAAATATGACCTTTAGCAGAAAGCAGCTCCACAGATTTACGCTGAACATTTTTAGATACTGTTAAAGAAACCTTTCCTTCTAATCATGAATGGAAACGTTTTAAAACTTTCAGTACTAGATAATCATCTTCATGCTCATGAACCATGTAGTTACTCTGTGCTAAATGGGTATCAGTTCCATAGTGCTACAACACTATTACAATCTCATTTGTTTGCAAAGCAATTTAAACTCCACATCAGCCTAGCTGTTTATGACAACAAGAACATGAATTAAAATGTCTTTTTTTCATTTTGGAGGGGTGGTCTTTTGACCCTCTTAGAAAGGCAACTCTTGCAGTTTTCAAGGAAACCATAGTTCAATGGGATGAACGCTAATGCAGTTTGTTGCTTCCCACTGTTCTGTCCTGCAGCACAATACAGCGTAAGGATACAGGAATCATTACCAGTTGCCATCCCTGTGCAGAGACACAATCTTTCTTCTCCAGTGAGGTCAATGTCGTCACTAATGATGATATAGAACTGTACTTATTTGAATAATATTATGATGCCATCTTGATTACATTGCGCCTCCTAATTTAGACTGGCTAGGAAGGAAAAAGAAAGAGGTTCTGACTTGACGACTCAGAACACAGCCATCCACACCAAAATGATATCTGATACAATGGTGTATATTTAGGTTATTTCCATCACAATAATTGAAACTCCCAGCTGGCATTAATGGGATGTGTTGTGGAAACTTTTTTCGTTTTTTTCCAACTGTGCTTTCAGACAGCTCTCGTTGTTTCCACACAGCTCTAACGGGGCAGGGGTGGGGGAAGTTTCACATGACTGAGGACTGCTGACAGCTGCAACCTATGCTTTGTCCTCGTACTATTATGACACAAAGAGCAGGTTATGTAATGCTGATAACTTGTAATGGACATGGATTGTTCCTGAAGAAAAGTCGTCTTCCATCCTACCCAGTGCTATCATGGCAGCTGGGAGTGTTGGACACTTCTACAACTCAGTACATATGTAATCAGAACAAAAGCATATCAGAATAAATTGTTTTCATTCTATGTATTCTTGAAAGCTCTCATGGCCGGGATCTGAAGGTTGTTGTAGGTTTTTCAGGCTGTCTGGCTGTGTTCTTGAGGTTTTTCTTCCTAAAGTTTCACCAGTCTCTGTGGCTAGCATCTTCAGAGGATAGGAGTCAGAACTCTGTCTGCACTCTGCTATAGTTTGTGGGATAGTTGAGTATTTATAGCAGTGGGATCAGCTTTTTGTCCTTTTTAGGACAAAAAGGTGATTATGGTGATCAGCATGTTTTTGTTGTAGGTGTATTGTTAGAAGGGGGAGAGATGATCTGTCACTGTGGTTGATGGGTGTCTTTTGTGTAAAGTGATCACTGGTCCTTGTGGCTGGGTAGAGTTCATTGACCTTTCGCAGGCTGTGTTTTCAGTCCTGGGAACCAGGCTTCATTGAAGCTCTGCTGGTGTTTGTGGGTTTAAGTGCAGTGCGGTCTAACATAATGATTGCTGGTGTTGTCCAGTACTTCTCTGTTTTGAAATAGAATTTCATGGCCAGCCTGTTTCAGGGTGTGTTCAGCTCCTGCCGATTTTTCTGGTTGTTTTAGTCTGCAGTGTCTCTCGTGTTCTTTGATTCTGGTGTGGATGCTACGTTTTGTGGTTCCAATATATACTTGGCCACAACTGCAAGGTACCCGGTATACCCCTGCAGTGGTGAGAGGGTCCCTTTTGTTCTTTGCTAAAAGTAACATTTGTTGTATTTTTGTGGTGGGCATGAATACTGTTTGTAGGTTTTGTTATTTCAAAAGTTTCCCCATGTGGTCTATGATCCCTTAAGTGTATGGCAGAAATACTTTAATTGTGACCCCTTTGATGTATGGCAGAAATACTTTATTTGTGGATGGCTGTTTTTCCTCTTCAGTTTGGTGTTGTTTTCTTGGTTTGATAGCTGTTTTGATTTCATTTTTGGAGTAGCCATTTGCCTGTAGGACCCAATTCAGATGGTTGAGTTCAGTACTGAGAAATTGAGCTTCACAGTTCCTATTTGCATGGTCTACCAGTGTTTTAATTATGCCTCTTTTTGTTGTGGGTGGTGGTTGGAGTTTTTGTGGGTACTGGTCTGTGTGGGTGGGTTTTCTGTAGACCGTGTGTCCCAATAGGAAGTCAGGTTTGCATATGACCATGACATCTAAGAAAGGGAGTTGGCCCTCTATTTCTTTTTCCATGGTGAATTATATATTTGGGTGGATGCTACTGAGATGGTTTAAGAATTCTTCCAGTTTTTCTTCACCATGGTTCCAAATTGCAAAGGTGTCATCCACGTATCGGAACCAGACTATGAGTGCAAAGGGTGCCAAAGCCAGGGCCTGTTTTTTTGAAATATTCCCTGTAGAGGTTTGCTATAACTGGGCTGAGGGGGCTCCCCATTGCCACTCCATCTGTCTGTTCATAGAACTCATTATCCCACTGAAATTAGTTCATCGTTAGGCAGTGTTGGAAAAGGGCCTTGATGTCTTCTGCAAAAATCTGCTGGATGAGTGTCAGAGTGTCCTTTATCAGTACCTTGGTGAATAGGTATACTACGTCATAGCTGATCAGTCTGTCCCCGGGCTTGAGTTTTAGGGTGCTGATCTCCTTTATGAAATGTCCTGAGTTTTTGATACAGGATGAGGTTTGTCCAATGTGGTTCTCTAGGAGGGTGGCTAGGTACAGTGGTGCCTTGACTTACGAGTGCCTTGACATATGAACATTTTGAGTTATGAACAGCTCAGTTCACATAATTTTGCTTTGACTTGCGAACGGAGCTTTGACTTACCAACACAAAAAGGCAGGGGAAAGGGCAGGAAATTCAAATTTCTAACTGTCGGTGGCGACGAGGCTGCTTCTTTGTAGCTCTTTCGCTCCAGCAGTTAGAGAGTGTGAGATCGTGGAGGCTACCTGCAAAGGTAAGGTGCTGCTTTATACTTTTTAAAAACTGTTCTGGGTATTTTTGCAGCGTGGTTTTCGGCTGAGGGGGTTATGTTTCTGTGCTATGATGAGTCTTAGGGGGTTGTTTTTTGGTCCCCCCCATTTCCGATGTGGGGGTTGGTTGCTTTTTGGAGTGCTTTTTCCCATTCTGATGGATCTTGGGAGGTCTGTTTGCTTTTTGGGTTTCCCCCTCATTTTTCATTGTGTCTTGCATGCTTCCCTTGCTTTCTTGCTTTGTTCTCTTTGCATTTCTGATCTGCTCCATTTGTTTTATGTCCTTTTGCAAAGGTTCCTGCATGTTTCCCTTGCAAATCAGAAGAATTTTTGCAAGGGTCTGTGCTGGCTTGGTTTAAAATGTGTTGGTGTAAAATGTGTGGGTTTAGCATAGGTTTTAGACTCCAATGCAAGTAGATAAATAGGGACCACCTTGGTGAGAAGGTAACAGCGTTCCATGTCTAAGTCGCACTGGCCATGTGACCACGGAAGATTGTCTTCGGACAAAACGCTGGCTCCATGGCTTGGAAACGGGGATGAGCACCGCCCCCTAGAGTCGAACACGACTGGACAAAAATTGTCAAGGGGAACCTTTTAGACTACAAACTCTCTCCCTCCCCCATTGTCTTCTCTCTCTCTGTCTCTCTCCTTTCCTGCCCTTTTATATCCTAAGTTATCTTGGGGCTTTTTAAAAAATTCTCCCCCTAGTGGTAGAGGATGGATTAACCAGTTTTGCATTAGTTCCTATGGGAACTAATGCTTTGACTTACAAACCGTGCTTTGACATAAGAAGTAAAAACAGCTGGAACAAATTAATCGGGTTTCAATGCATTCTTATGGGAAGTGCTGATTTGACTTACAAACGTTTTGATTTACGAACACCATTCTGGAACGGATTACGTTCGGAAGTCAAGGCACCACTGTATTTTGCTAATTCATATGTCGGGGAGCGGATGGCACTTACAATGGGCCTGAGTGGGATTGAGTCTTTGTGGATTTTGGGGAGTCCATATAGTCTTGGTGGGAGAGCTTCTGTCTTGCAGATTCCTTGAAGGACATTGGGGTGCAGGGAGGAACTCCTGATCAGCATGTTTGTGGAGCCTGGCCAGCTCCAGAGACTAGACCAGCTTGCTGCTCAGGGCCTCCACCTAACATTCTCTATCTACATAACGGAGCTTACAGCACTCATATCTTTTCCAATATGTGAGAAACATTATCCATTCTAGCATAAAATGTCCTTCTGGTTAGAAAAGCAAGTGAAAAACTTTTAACATTGATCTGCTGATGTTACGATTATGTCTGGCTGTCGGAAGCTGCCACTATTCTTAGCTGGCAATATAACACAGAGACAGGACTATGGATAGGCCAGTCCTGTGATTTCTGCATCTCCTAGATCTTTTTCTGTGAATTGTGCTAATACTTGTGTATCTAAAGCTCTCTTCAGATTTCAATGAAAGGGTTAACCTGAATCCATGAGCAAAGGGAATAGACTAGCAGGTTGAATATTTTTAGAGTTTTGGGTCCTGTGGAGAACCCCCAGGCATGGAGAATGACTTTGGATTTAGCTGTCAGCACCTAGGAGCCAAGACAGAGATGCCAGGAGCAGTCTATTCCTTTTGTTCATGGGTTCAGATTAATCCTTTTATTGAACATCTGAACACAGCTTAACTGTTAGATGTCATGAGTTGTTTCTGAAACCTTTAATAGGATAGTAAGTGCCAGGAATTACACCTGGTGCCTTTCCCTTATCCTGGTCACATCTAAAATAAGCTGCGTAGTCTGCCTATTGTGAGCTGCCCAAGTGTTCAGGGAGTTACAGTATGAATTGTCAGTTTTATGCTAGTAGTTCTGTCTAATATTGGGAGTGTGTATAAAACGTAAACTCTATAAAGTACTAGATTTTCAAGAGTGTTTGAAAAATTACCGTTTGCAGGTCTATAACCAGACCTGTTTATCCATATAGCTGTAGGGGAAGTTCCGCAATCATAGCTTCTGCTGACTGATTGAAGTGGCAGTCAAGGATGAAAGGTGTGGCTGCAAGTCATCACCTTGCTTGTCTTTCAGTTTTTCATCCCACACTTGGAATAACTCTTTCATGAGTAATAGCTTTTATTGCCATGTAGCCAGTTCTGCACCATACGTAGAACTCTTTTTGTTGCTGTTTCCCTGAGAACATGCATGTGTTACTAAAGTTACTTGAGTTAAAACTTAGGTCAACAACTTGCATCTTGGGAGAGAATGAAGGCCTCTCCTCATGCTGTCATTTACTTGTAAATAAAATTCAGCAACTCCTCCCATTTTGGAAACATTATTCAAACTGCTAATTCAAATCCCTGGCAAATTACAATTTATCCAGTGTGAATAGCTTGGTGTGGAAATTAAAAGTAATTTCCCTCAGAGCAGAATGGGAAAACCTAAGTATAAATAGTACATAGTATTTCACAAACATTATCATGACTGCTTACAACATTTTTCAAAACATCTGATGTAAAAAATAAAAGAGATGTTTTCTTTAAAATAGGAACTTTCTGAGCCAGTTATAGCTCTCTTCGAAAAGGAAAACTTCAACGGAAAGAAAATGGAATTTACTAAAGAAGTTGTAAATCTTCGGTTTCTTGGCTACAATCCTCGTGTAGCTTCCATAGAAGTCCTTGGTGGAATGTAAGTTACATTTTGTAGTTAGCAACTTAATCATTTTTAGAATTTAAGTAACCATTAAGTGCTATTTCATAAAATGTTCATTTTTTGTAAAATACAAAATGTGTAATTTCTCCTTTGTCTCTGAAAATGTACAGGGTTTCCCTTGTCAGTCTCAGGGGAAAAAATAGTGTTTTTATCTACCCATGGGGAAATAAATCTGAGAAACAACAACTTGTTACTGGATTTCAGTCTATACATTTTAGATTGTCTTTAAAACCATGAAACTGAGATGAACTGAGTAGTTAACTGGCCTAGGTTGTCAGCGCTGGTTTCTTTGGAAAAAAAAAATTATGTCCTGTCTTATATCAAAAAGATCTCACAGCAGGTTACAGGCAGTAAAACAATTTAAAGCAATTTGAAACCATTTCAAACCATGCACACTTTAACAGAAGTCTACAGTCTAGTTAAGCAGTGATTGCTAGCCTCCCAAAATTTTAATAACAAATCAGATTGGTGGGAAGGTGATGGCAGCATCAGTGCCAACAGAGCCTCTACGGTGAGGGCATTTCACACATGGGGTTTCACAGCAGAAAAGCCCCTTTCGTGCATAGCCACACAGTGGCCCAAATACTGCTGAAGATAGACCAGTGCCATTGGCCCCACCCCACCATTCAGTTCTTTAAATAATTCAGGTCAATCATTTCTATTAGAATTCTTGCCTGTTGGTGAAACGATTGTTTCTTTTACACTTCTCACATAATTTCTTGATATTGGGGTGCAGCAGTTCATTTCTTGTCATTTCTTGTCATAGGAAAGACGTAATCATTTATCTGCAGATGAGTTTAACCATGGATTTTTTGCTTTACTACACAGTAACAATTTAAGTTAGAGAAACGACACTTTGACTTGTCAGACTAAGTTTATTGCCTAAGCAGTATGTAGATAGATGAGCAGCAAGGTTTCCTTTTTATCTTGCAAGGAACAGCTGGAGAGGTATAAAGAAACTGGTGTTTGCTCAGTTTAGATAGAGGGTTGTATTTAATTAAACACACAATTTTTATTTCTAATACTTGATGCAAGCAATGATTTTTAAGCCCACTTCAAACTCTGGATTTTATACTCTCATGGGCATTTAATCTTTAAGCACAATTTAGATATGCAGATACAAGTCTTGGACAACTGTTGTGTCTGATTGTAAAGATCCTCTGGAGATTAATGTTTGAGAATCCGTCCATGCATATGCTCCTGGACCAGAATAAAGAGGCTAGAACAAAAGACTGCTTGATCAGTTGTCAGCTTTTCTTGATGACATTGCCCCATTTTTTTCTTTTTTGTGAGCCTTTTTAGGTATCCATTATTATAATGAAATGAGGTTTATTGTACCCAAACATACACCATTGTTCGATATAATATGATCACAGCATCTCCAGCACAGACATATTTACTGGGAAATAAACCTCCACTTTGACAAAATAATACACCAGTTGGTTGCTGAAGTAAAATCTCTAAACATTTTTGCTGTATAATATTGCCAAGCTATATGCAATAATTAACAGATCTAATTAGTCAAATATGCCTTGTTTCAGATGGATTGTTTATGAGCACAATAATTATAAAGGCCGTCAGAGTTTATTATTACCTAAAAAAATACCAAACTGGTATGAGTCAAGCAGCTACCACAAAGTAGGTTCTCTACGACCTTTGCTACAGGTAAGAAACAATGGTCCATTTTTGGAAGTCAAGTATGTGTACATCTTCAACCATTCTGCTTTCTCTACTCCACTTATCAGCTGGCCTTCAGTCTCTGTGTGATGGTATTGCACAAAAAGCATTCTTATGTATGATAGGATGTACTTCAATAAGGACTTGAATCATTCCTCCCTTCCATTTAACAGTTTTGCCTCTAGAATAAGATTAGTTTTGATTAGCTTCAATTTGACTATATTGCTTTTCAGAGAAGACTGGTATCACTAAATCATATAATGATTGAAATTAGAGATGGGTACAAATCACCGGTTTGTTGTTTCATGCCAGCTAGGTGGACAGGTGTCCAGCAGCGGTTCAGCGCCCCATCTTTTCCAGTGGGTTACCACTCAGAAACAGCACCCCAGCTTCCCTGCCCCACCTCTTCCGGGTGGTGCCTCCTCCAAGTGGATAGCTGCTGGAGGGTGCAGGGTGTCGAACCACAGAACACCTGCTCAGCTGTCCATTGATCTGGTCGTTTGTGCCCATCTGTCGTTGAAATCCTGATGCTTGGCAGAACAAGTTGCAGTGGAGTAGGACCATCATTTGCATCAACGGAATTGAATGGAGGAGTTGACCAAGGCCACACAAGCTGGTTCCTCTGAGATGAGTAGCTCTTCTGATGGGGTTTTGAGCTCCAAGTCTCTGGCTCTGCTGCCAAATACCTAACTCACTGAACTATTCAACCAGCTAAAACTATAAACCAGTAGTTTTCCCCATTCTTGTTCCTAAACTACTATTATTTAATGGTATTAAAGTATATTTAAATAAAAAGTGGATAATTTACAGCTCTGGGAATTGCAGTTCTCTTAAGCCAAAGTTCCCTATGTACCTTGTGTTACTATGAAAATATAATTTGTGGAAAATTAGAAGTGGGATTTTTTTACATCTGCTTGTCACCATCATGGTGCCAGATTTTGGTGGATTATAACTATGACAAAATCCAGGGATTAAAATTGTACCCTAACCTGTCAATGCCCCCCTGCACTCATTTTAAATATTCAAATCAGAGACTGCTATCTCAGACCTCTTCCTTTCAATTAGTTCCCCTGGTTTAGACTATTCAGAAGGAATCATTTTGAGGATGCACCTTTAAATCCAAGGTTTTTGTACAAATCTACTAGTCCTGTTCAGCTTATGTCAATCTTTATGCAACTTTCTTTTTTCTTTATACTGTTTATACCTTTTTTTCTATGAAAATATATGAATGAAGTAAGGATGAATTAAATTACTTGTTTATGTCAACACTGAATTAATAGACAAACTACGTTTCTTATAAAAAATACATACATCAAAGGCAGGCAGTGCCAGCACACAGATCTGATATCCCATAGGAAAAAGCATGTTTACCATTTGTAAATGCATATCATTATTTGTTGATTGAAATTTTGGAACTTTGCATTTCTTTCTGTCATTCCTTTTGTACTGAAGTGTCATATGGGGTCTGCAGGACCCCAGTGTGCTGACTCTCACATCTCACACAGGGGCCTCACATCATGGTTTTCCAACTCTTTGGCTGTGTTTATTGACTTGAGTCAAAACTGAAGCTTTTACCACTCTTTACATTAAAATCATTTTTGCCCCTCTTTCCAAACAGTGGTTAGGTGGATAACTCAGTGAGTTAGGCGTCTGACGGCAGAGGCCAGGAGTTTGATTGTCCCACTCTGCCTCCCAGAAGAGCCAACCCCTGTGGCCTTGGGCAAGCTGCACAGGCAAAGGGGCCCTCAGAAGAAGGGAGTGGTAAAACCGCTTCTGAGTACTCTCTACCAAGAAAACCCTGAGAAGGATTGACATTAGTTGAAACTGATTTGACAGCACACCGTTGTTATTATTCCAGATAATGAGGGGCTCAGAATGTGAAATGGTCCAGGGTTTATCTGAGCTATCTGAGGGTGTCGTGTGCACTCAGAAAATGTTTTGATGCATCCAAATCAGTATCCAAAGTTCCTTAGCCATGACATTTACCTTGCTGTACTTCTCTTCCCATTTACTTTACCTTGAATTATAAATTACAACAATGTGTACTTTTTATTTCTCATTATGTGAGAAATTATGTTCTTTTTCTGCATTTTTTTTGCTTTGTTTTATGAGTGCCTGGTAATTATTTGTTTGATTTGATACTTACTTTTAAATCATGCTCTTGATCCTAGAAATACTTAGCATCCTGAAATAAATTCATGATCCCCAAGTATTTGTTTGATTTGACCTGCTCAATAACGCTTCCCTGTATTGACCATGAGAGAACCACTCTTTACATTAAAATCATTTTTGCCCCTCTTTCCAAACAGTGGTTAGGTGGGTAACTCAGTGAGTTAGGCGTCTGGCTGCAGAGGCAGAGGCCAGGAGTTTAATTGCCCCGCTCTGCCTCCCAGAAGAGCCAACCCCTGTGGCCTTGGGCAAGCTGCACAGGCAAAGGGGCCCTCAGAAGAAGGGAGTGGTAAAACCGCTTCTGAGTACTCTCTACCAAGAAAACCCTGAGAAGGATTGACATTAGTTGAAACTGATTTGACAGCACACCGTTGTTATTATTCCAGATAATGAGGGGCTCAGAATGTGAAATGGTCCAGGGCTCATCTGAGCTATCTGAGGGTGGCGTGTGCACTCAGAAAATGATGTTTTGATGCATCCAAATCAGTATCCAAAGTTCCTTAGCCATGACATTTCCCTTGCTGTACTTCTTTTCCCATTTACTTTACCTTGAATTATAAATTGCAACAATGTGTACTTTTTATTTCTCATTATGTGAGAAATTATTTTCTTTTTCTGCATTTTTTTTTGCTTTGTTTTATGAGTGCCTGGTAATTATTTGTTTGATTTGATACTTACTTTTAAATCATGCTCTTGATCCTAGAAATACTTAGCATCCTGAAATAAATTCACATTTTAAATGGTTCCATATTTTTATAGTACCTTGTATAACTCCATGATTTAATGCCATACATTAGAAATGAAAATAGATAATACCATCCAAAGTTGCATTCTTAATAGTTTAATGTTTGTGTTGCGCATTACATCCTTCATCTTTGGGAAGCCGCTCCAGGCTTTTTCTATTCTGACTGTACATTTTAAAGATCCAAAAATGGTTTACAGTGTTACCGTAATGAATGGACACATTATTATTTGCATGTCTTTTTGTGTGTTGTAGACCTGAATTTGCATGGGTGCTTTTTATTTTTATACATGTGTTGTATATTTATTTCTGTAATCCAGTTTGCAGAACCCTACTCTATGGGAAGGTAAAAGCATCTTCAGGTGCTAATGCTTGAAAATATAACATTGTTGCTATAGCTAGTCATGTAGAGCAGTGGTCCCCAACCTTTTCCCAACTGAGGAGTGGTTAGGGGAGGGGCGTGTGCGAGGGGCGTGGCACACTTGTGCAGGGGCGTGGGGCGTGCTTGCGGGGGAAGTGCTTGCGGGGGGCAAGAGATCTGTATCCATGCCCTAGTCCTGCCTAGGCCACAGACTGGTGCCGGGTCGCAGACCAGGGGTTGGGGACCCTTGATGCAGAGGACATCATGGAGATCGTATGGCTCAAATGCTATCAATCTTTTTACAGAAACGGGTATATTTCAGATTTAGAAACAAAGGAACAGGAAAGTTCATGTCAACTGATGGAAATCTAGATGACTTGAATCTTCTGAGGATACAGGTTGCAGAAGACATGAAAACTGATGATCAAATTTGGATTTATCAGGATGGATTCATCAAATCTAGGGTAAGGTCTTACACAAAACATTTCTTACTAAGATATGCAGTTCAGCATTCATCACATGCTTTCTATAAGAAAAACAGAAAAGAGTATTCACTTGTTCCAGAAAACAGGGGAACTCACTATCATTGGCCTGTTCAGATATTTCAGATGTTTGTTGAAGGAAGATTAGTGGGTCATACTGTTTTAATTAAATTTGCCTTCTGCCAATTAATGTGACTGGTGCCAGGCTCCAGTAGAAACTTAGAATTGAATCACCAGGGAAGCAAGAGCTGGGACCTTGGGCTGCACTGCTGCTGTTGCCAACCACACATCCCTCCCTGTTGGACACCCAGACCCAGCATGTGGCATCATTCCATTTGGGGGAATCTGAGAACTGATGGGCAGGAGCAAGGAGGGGCGAACATTTTTATTTAATTTATCTTTTTATTGTGGTGCTTCTGCGCTCTTTGCTGACTTGACTTCAGTTCTTTATTACTGACAATAAAACATGTGAGTTACTATCGAATTGCAGGAGCAGTGTTTAAAATAAACAGAATCCTGATTCCAGTTTTTTGTGAATAAATTTGCTAGTTTTGAATCTAATTACAAACTTAGTTCGTATATCAAGGCTTGCTGTAGTAGCGCTTGTCAGCACTAGCCTGGTAGCCAATTCTAAACAGTTCAATTAGGGGGGAAAAACACCTTATCATTCAGTGATCAGTGTTTCTTTTCCCAACCCTCACTCCAGCATCTGAAGAAATGAACAGAGTTTGAGTAATGAGTTTTGTGTCTGAGACTCTTTCTTTTTAAGTGTTGTGTAAGATCTTTCAAAGCATTCTGCCAAAGGAAAAATTTCTCAACGATGTCAGTCATGCATAGTGGAATAGTTTCCTTCTTTACAGTGCACCATGAACATGCTTGGACATGGGCACATTAGAAACTGTGGGTTTACAGCAGAATGTTGAAGTTAATATGTTGGTTTTAGCCCTTCATCTAAAACAGTGCAAAACAGGGCTTCATTCGTTTCCCTTATGACAGTTAGTATGGTGTTGACACATGGCTTGTAATTTCTCTTCATTTGAGCACTTTCATCTCATTTTTTTTCAACATAGCCCTGAGCAGAACCTGTTGTTGTTATGTTCCATCAAGTTGCTTCCGACTTTAGGCAATTCACTGGCAGGATTTTTATGAGGTGAGACATTTGAAGCAGAATTTACCCTTGCCCACCTCCCAGTGGCTAAGCAAAGGCTTTGGACCAAAGGGCTCCTGAGTCCTAGCCTCAATCCAGTAAGCTAAAATGCATGTGTTGCATAAAGGAAGTCCAGTTTTAATACATGGAATCTCTTTTTTTAAAAAAAAGTATGTTAGGCACCAGGGCTGAACAATGTCTTCCCACTGTTTCCTGAAGAGAAAGTGGCCTTGATGGATCAGTTGAGTGTCTTATTCAACAGGGCAGCTTCAAACATTTGAACACATTGACTTGGAAGCCGAGTTCCATTGTTTCCCTGCATGCTGTATCTGTTTCTCAGTACTGTATATGTATAGTCTATGTTTATATTTTAAATGACTGTGGACAATAATGATTTAGCATAAGTCTGCTTTTTGTGCTCTAAAGACTTGGCAATAAGATCTCTTGTGTGGTGAAAGGAGTGAAAGTGAGTCATGACAAAATATTGGCCAAATTGTTTAAGTTACTATGGCTGAAATGCTTTGTTGTGAAGTATACTAAGTCACAACTAGAGGGCCCATTGAATCAATGGAATTTATGGTGAAGCTGACCAATCAAATTCCCAGTGGGCCTACTCTAGTTCCAACTTACTACTCTAAGCAACAGGATTGCAGCTGGTAAATCTGAGTTGTCTGAGTTAATAAATCATATTTTTATTATATAGGAATACTGTTGGAAACTTGCCAGTGAAAATCAGCTGGCCAGATGATGTTCAAGTATACTCAGTTCTGCCTATCCATATATGGAATTACCAGTGAGAAGTAGCAAGAAACGGGCTTTGACTGATTGTTGTTTAATTGCACAGGTGGCGGAAGATTTCTGCTTGACAATTGTAGGAAACCTGATAACTCCTGGTGCAAAACTGGGCCTTGCACTTCAACAGAATGAAGAAAAGCAAAACTGGACTATTAACCCAGATGGCAAGATCTACAGCAAAATGAAACCAAACTTAGTATTAGACGTTAAAGGTAAGGACTTCTTGCTGGAACGTTATTAGTGTTTTTGGGCTGTATGAGACTTCTTAACATTTATCATGATCTTCCCCAGCTTTCCACAGCTCAGCACATTGTGTAAAATGCAAGCGACATTTTGGCCTGTTCTGCTTTTATAAGAATCCTTATAGTTCAGCCATATCTATTCCGAAAATTAAAAAATAAATTTCCATTAGCTAGCATTAGCTCTTATGTTACATTGGCTGAAATCCTGTTGCTAGGTTCAACTTGTGCAATGGGAATGATGTTACTGTATCTTCAGTGATAGATTGCTCCTCTTTAAAAACTACCTTTTGCAATTCCAGGGTGCACATGCCTTGTACACAATGCAACAAAGCCATCTGCACCAAAATCACAAAATGGAGGTTTTAATCAGTAGTACAGTACTGTAATCTGTTTCTGGTGATGACATCATTTCTGTTGAGCAACAGAATTTCAGCCATTATTTTTTCAGCTTTTTGTAGCAGATTCAGCGTCAAAATAGTCTTGAATAATAAAAAAATTGTTTTAAAAAAATCATGCAATCTAGCTGGGTAAATTCTACTTTAAGTAACATTTAAAGTATATTAAGATAATAATAATCTTAGAGCTGCAGAGCTGGAAGGGACCTTATGATGTACACTATGTCTAGTCTGAATCCGTGTTCCCAACTATGGTTTCAGGTTTTGTTCTGGAGATTTATGAGGCAGCTGCTTTGCTGAAACTAAGGGTGTGATCAGACAACTGCAAAAGCATGCACCTGATTGCACCCGAAAGGGTTGATTTAATAAGAGTGATTTCCCTTAAGGCAACTGTTCTATCTGTTGGGGAATCGTTAAGCCCAGCCCCCAAAAGTAGATGCCCTACAGCAGAACCAAAAAAGCCCTGCTTGGTTACAAATCAGTGCACATTTCCCTGTGTGTCATATGCCAGAAAACAGATTGCACCAGACTACTCCACAAGCTGTCCAAATCGTGACCTAATTCCCTGTGGTTATCACACCTAGATAAGAGATTTGTATTTGTATATGAATATCCCGGACCCAGGTGGCCAGGAAGCCCAGTCCTGCCTCCCTGAACTGACCTGTTCACTTGCAGGTCATCACATGGTTGGTCTCCTACTCGTCGCACCAATTTTGGATGTAGCCCAGCTGGGGCATCCCCACCTCCCTGCACTGCTGGCCACTCCAGGCAGGATGATGAGTCTCCCCACTTAGCGCCTGATTGGTCAGCAGCAGCATAGGGAGGCAGGGAAGCCCCAGCTGGGCTACATCCAAGATTGGCGCAATGAGCAGGACGTCAGCCATGCAGCCACTCGTAAGTGGATGGGTCAGTTTGGGGAGACAGGACTGGGTTTCCCAGCTACCTGGGACCAGGATATTCATATACGAATAAAAATATCTGATATCTATTCACACCGTCAGCTGGTCTCGGACTTATTGCTGCCAGAATGCGAGACCAATTGAGAAGCTAATATATGGTATCTTGCAATCTTCTTGCATTGCAGTAGAAAGGTGACATATATATGTAATAAATAAACAAAATTACATTCACCCACTAATTGGCCATCTAAACCTTGATACCTACATCATCCTGGTTTTATTATTATGTAATGTAAAGTCATTTCCAACATAAAATAGCCTTTAGGTATGTGAGATGTTTGGGGAGTGGCTCACCATTGTCATTCCCAATGAGTTACCATGGTTGAATGGAGATTTGAACTCAGGTTTCCCATGTTGTAGTCAGACAGTCTGTCCACTACACCAGCTCGGCTTCTCAAAAGCTATAACCAAACAATCACTTTGTGTTAATGATATATGTGTATTTGGTTTCCAAATGCTATACTGAATAATAAACTTTGTGTTTTAGGGGGGAAACTCTATGATCAAAACCATGTGATTGTCAGTTCTGTCAGTGAAGACAAACCAACCCAGTGCTGGGAGGCACTGGTTGCTTAAAGTATTTCTGCTTCAGGAAGTACAAAGCTGAGAATGAGACCCATCCAGAATTGTGTAGGTGTGGCAAAGAATGCAACATCAGTTTGACTTTCCAAGAACAGAATTTAACCTACCTTCTACATAAAGAATGCAGTCTTCAGCAGACCTTCACTCTCTTATACTAATCAACTCTTGTGATGGAAGCAAAGCCAGAGTTTGTTGGCCCTTCCTTGCCACATCCCTTTTGCCCAGCCCAACCATGTATGAGGTTGGTGAGCCTCTATTACAACTACATGATTAACAGCCCCTAAATTGGATTCAGAGCCTTATATATAGGAACACCCAGTGGTGGGATTCAGCAGGCCAACAAACGGTTCTGCATAACCAATAATACATTAGCTACCGGTTCTGTAGAACTGGTGCGAACCTGTTGAATCCCACCACTGGGAACACCCTACACATATCTGTTCATCCCCTTCTATGCATGCAGCACATGCACCCCTGTTTTCCCTTCTCAAATACTTTGACTTGTGGGATGAATGACTACATAGGTCCTCTGTGTGTGTGTGTTTGTGTGTTTGTGTGTTCTTGATTAAAGGCTAGTAGCCCCCATCTCTGACTAATTTTTTTTATTTTCAGAATAAAATGCATCACCAGCAATTATTCTGCAACGCTGATCAAATATTAGTTTAGAATATATCTCTGTGTGCAATTTTAAATTTCCAAATAGCTGTTTTAATATCTTTGTGCTTGAAGCACCCTGGTGAAACAGAACTCACTTTTCTTGCACTGGAACATTTTTTATGAAAATTTATCTCAAGATTTCCAGTTGTATCAATTTGCTCACAAAATGATCTAGAACATATCAGGTAATTTTGAAAAAAAACATTATTTCATTATGACCAAATGGCTGAAATCCTATTGATGTTTGTGTAATTTGCTGCAGCCAATTGAACAGGTCCCACAGCATGTGATTAGTGCACAACCAAAACATGTCCCACTACCTCGCCAATTAGCCTTAGCACATTACACAAACTGTGCAAACACCAAAAGGGCTTTGGCCAGTATATTAATAATATAAATAAATGTCTTAATGCTTGTTACTGTAGGTTTATATTAGTCAAGAAGAGTTGCTACCAACTGAAGTTTCTAGCTGTTAAAAAAGTATATCAATTACATATTTGCATAGCTGCCTATCTTTACACAGCTTAAAAGTATCATCTCTGAATGTGGCAAATGTACTTCCTTTACATCTTGCATAGTTTTAAAAAAAACAAATACACAACACTTTATGTTAATTTGAAAAACCAGTTTACCTGCGAATGTCTGTATCTACTGGTTGTTCCAAATGTATTTAATGTAAAGTCTCAGGTGAAACTGGCTATCTGCACTTGTTTGGTGTTATCCTTAGTTACTTCAGTGTTATGTATTTTTTTTACTTCTGTAGCATCCAGACACACAGTTCCATTAAGATTCTAGCTTTCCATTACTTTACATGCCATCAAGGCAGTTATGACTTATGGAGGCCTTGTGTAGGGTTTCCTAAGTATAAAGTACTCAAATGTGGTTTACCATTCATTCTTCTGGGACTGTTCAGCTTGCCCATGGCTACAAGGGCTGGCTCTTCTCCTTCTCGGGGGAGAATCAAAATCTCAACTTAATTCAGCGAGCTATCAATCCAGCTAATACTCATGCTGAAAAAAGAACTGGTGCTACCCCTGTATCATGAGCATGTTGTTGTTGCTTCGGCTTTTATACCATCTCAGTATGGTAGAGCTCTCTCTAGGCAGTTTGAAACAAAATTATGCAAGGAACAGCTCCCCCCTCCCCCACCCCATGAGCTGGATATTCATTTTATTAGCTTTGGAAGGATGGAAGACTGAGTCATACCTGAGCCGGTTTCCTGAATCTGTCAGGACTCAAGTCGTGAGCAGAGGCCTGACTGCAGTATTGCAGTTTAACCACCGCGGAATGAGGCTTGCTACATTCCTCATTTGTTATATTCTCTGTTTGAGAAATCTTTAAGGTTTATGTTCAGAAAAACTTGTAATTACTCTACATTCTACAAAAATCTGTATTTGTTCGCTGATATGTAAAGTTACAATAACACCTAGAGCCCAGGTAATTTTATGTCATCGCAATTACAATCTCGTGACATAAAATGCTTGTGTGAATGTAGCATTGGAATTCTAGAAGGTCCAACTGAATGTCAGAGACCAGGAACAAAACAAAACAAACATCTCATAAAATCAATACAGGGCAGGAAAGTGAGCAAAGAGAAAGCAAAAATACAAGTGGCAATTTAAAATGGCTCTTGCAATATTTCCAATGCTGTCTTTCCCCGTGTGAAGATCATTTTGTTATTTCTGTTAACCATGTTTTTTTTAATGTTCTGGTTTTTACACAGCACTTTTTACTAGTTACTTACTTGTGCCACATGCCCTGGAAAAGTTAGGCTTTAAGAATTGTGGACTGACTTGTGTGGACAAATACTACATTGTTTATTAGGAAATTAGCACTTGCTATCCAGGTGTTAAATGCTGCCCCCCCCACACACACACACCACAGTCCACTGTAAAAACTACTGCAATACACTGAGCTGTAATGTTCTTCTGGTTATCTTTAAGAAGCGCTGCTTATTTCTCTGGTATAGAACACATTTTTTACTTTAAGCATGGTTCCAACATAAAAAGTTTCTCTGCCCAGTTATTGTATAAACATGTATTTTTCAAATAAATATGACTCAATTAAAGTATATTTTGTGTTTTGTAAGTTCAGCTCCAAAATCTGAAAAAATTCTGAGGAAACAGAGAAACAGCAGCAACAGCCGGCTGATGGTATTATGCAAGACGCCAGTCGTTCTCTCCAAAGGCAATGCAGGTGTCACAGAAGAGAACACACACAGATACTCTGTAATGGCCTTGCAGGCATTCTGAGCAAGCAACAGAAGCATAGTTTATATTCATGGAATATGATGATGTGAAGTGTCTGAACAGAATTGGTGCCAACAAATGGAGCTGGGAAGAGCTACCAAATTTCCCCCACAGCATTTCTCCAGATACATTAGAGCTTGGTGAGTCATCACTACTGATGCCACCGATGTATTTAGAAATAGGGCACTGTGACTTTATTCTTTTTTAAAAGTTAGTGCATTAAAAGCATTAAACCATACACTATATGACTGTCTCCAATAGCCATTCTTTAAGTTTGTATCCAATAATCCAAAAAGAGTATTTAAAATTCTCTTGTATAAAGCACCCATTAATATGACATAGAAAAGGACTGGCTATTAGCTGATAACTTGAAGTATCACAAAGGAGCTGAAAAAAATTCACACAAAGAAGGACATGAGCAGATAACATTAATTTTTATTAATTACATCTATCACTGTTTTACCACGGGCATGCCCCTCTTCCATCTTCTTGAAGGCCTTGGGAACATCGGAAAATGAGAAAACCTGATCAATTACGGGGCGTATCTACAAAGGGAAAGAACACACAGTTATCCTAAAGCTTATTTATCCACAATTGTACAGACCTAATACAAAGATTAAAGCTTTCAGAACAGAGTTAATCAAGGGTAAGAGCTCTGCTTGTCTCACTGGTTTTGCCAATTTAAATTTGGTGAGAAATAAAACCTATAAATGCTCTCAAAGACACGTTCAGCAGAGTTCTCCATTGCCAGCACAACATATGACACTCTCTAAACTAAGAACCTGTTTCTTGAGTATATATTGAACAAATCTAGAGCAGTTCCTGTAATACCTACGTGCTGAACTAAGTATTATTTTGACAGTTGCAGAATTTTATTTCTGCTGTAAAAAGAAGCAGCAAAAATTGGTTGAGGTGGGGGGGGAGTGAACTGAAGTAACTGGATGACACTTCGTATTACATGAGAAATGAAGGGCACTTGGTAACAGTAATTTCTTAGATAAACTCCACTCTCCAATCCCCAGAATATCTGACTTGCCAGTTTCTAAAGTTCATTCTAAGCAGCAATAATACCAAACAAGCAAACTCCTTTTAGGAATTTAAAGCTACCATTCCTCTTCTAGTACTACAGTAGCTGTGATGCCAAATACCAAATATCTGGAGTGGTAAAGTTCAGCAAAGATGGCCTGTGAGTTGGAATTCTACATCAGAGCACCAACCGGCAAACCCTGTTCACCTGCACTTTTCCTTCTTAATTATCTATAGCCTTGTTCCTTCCTCACTCCATCTACCATAGTTGTTTCCAAAGAGAAGACAAATGCTAAAATTAAACTGTTCTTTAACTTTTTGCTCCAGTGCTAACAATTATAAAAATGCTTCAGTATCCACTGACTGCAGGTAATTTCATAATGAAAATAATCAAGAGTTGGTTGTTGTGGGTTTTTCGGGCTCTTTGGCCGTGTTCTGAAGGTTGTTCTTCCTAACGTTTCGCCAGTCTCTGTGGCCGGCATCTTCAGAGGACAGCATCTTCAGAACACGGCCAAAGAGCCCGTAAAACCCACAACAACCAATTAGATCCCGGCCGTGAAAGCCTACGCAAATACTTAAGAGTTGCTTTGCAATTCTTCTCCAAATGACTGAGCCAAAAACTTTGTAAAACTGTATTTTGGTTCATAAAATCTGGAAGCCTCGGAACAGCACAAAATAAAAAGTACAAAAGCAGTCCCGACTTTTCTTTCCTCCACAGATTCTAAAATTGGAAAAACCAGGAAGCAGGAGATGAGGGAGGGACAGGAAAAAGAAGACGAGGGAAAGGGCCCAAGAGAGCACTAATATTTCTCTTCAGATTCATTATAAATTGTTTGCAAAGCATCCCATCAACTGCCAGCTCCAGATTAATATGACCTAACGCTTGATAATGGCCTTTTCTGTGACCACCCAGCTAATAACTGATGTTTTCCAGAAGAGGGCAGAATTTCAGCATGCCTAACAGTACAAGGCTCAGAAACGACTCATAATTCCATTAAAGAATTTACAATGGTCTAAATCAGAAGTGACCAATTCCTAGAGATCTATAAGGTGCACTAGCCTCCCCTGGACCTCAAATAACCTTTTGGAGGCACAGAGCTTTTTTTCAAAATAAGAAATCTTTGCCCATGCTTGGCCTACATGGCCTATAAAACATGTGGCATGGTGAGGATTGTGACCACTGTGTCTTGGCTTTAAATCAGTTTCTCAAGTATCTGGATGTACTTCTCAGAGCACTAAGTAAACAAAGCTGTGACAGGTTTCTCTTCAGAGGGCTATTTTAAAGTTTCATTTCTGGATTTAAACACACCCCTTAAAAAAACAGGCTGGGAGTGGAGAAACATGGTGAAATTGCTCCATGGTAGACATAAGGAGGTTTTAAAGCATTCAAGATTAATAATACCAAATGGCACCAAAACTGCCTGCAAGTCTTCAGTCTCTGAACAAAAGGGATATGGCCTCTCTTAAGATTTCACGTTCATGAGGAATTTCCCCATAAAGAAAGCTTCACATTTCAGAAGAAATGAAATTAAGTTTGAACACTGTTCAAGAAGGTAGACAGGCATCATGCCTTTGTGGTCCCTCTACCAAGCTATATAGTGCCTCTATGTGTAGCCACACACACGTATACATACACACAAAGAGAGAGAAAACCCTTTTTAAAAATAACATGTGGTTCACTGTACTTATCTCTAGGAGGCAGACTCTCACTATTCTATGAAACCTTTCAAAACAAAACCACTGAAAGTTTATTTTGGAGGAGCTATGAAATTAGCTGGAGATCATCATTACAAGTTTGCTGGCTTGCTGGAAAATGGTCGTAACTCATATGATACATTATTGCCGACTTTTCGGCTTATTGCACTGTTGGCCCCCAGCAATGAAGGGAAGCGACATGAATACCAAAACTGATGATTGCAGCAATCAGCCACATTAAACACTTTATCTGACCGGCTGATCCAGACTCATTGTTCCAATAAACTAGAAAAGGCTGACCATGTCCCCAGTACAATATGTCATTCAGTGTTTACTGCAAACAACCTGACAAAGACAAATATTTCTTCCTGTGCTCACAACCGGCCAAGTCAGCAAATGGTGACGTGACAGTAAGCGGAGATTAACTAGACAATGAAAACACTATCTGTTTACAACAACGCAACAGTCCCTTGGCCACAGAACAGTTGCTTGTTCAGGGAAATGAGATAATATGATGAAGCCTGGATTACACAGAATCATTCAAAATGGCTAATATAAAAAGAAAAAAACATATTGACCCTGGGCTCCTATTACATGTATCTTTAAGCTGTCCACTGGTAACTGACCTGTGAACCATCATCCTCTATATGAAGACACAAGAATTCAGCACTTGAGTACAAGTCCCTTTATAGTCAAAACACCACCCATCTGCGTAGTAGCAGGCAAAGCTCCTGTTTGCCAGAAGTACACATGGACACACAATCTGAAAAATAAGTGTAGGAAGGAGAGCCCGAAACAGCTGAAAGACAGCTGAACAGATTCAGTGGACAGAGCAGGCTTACTGACCAATTGCTGAAGGTGGGAAGAGAAACTGAAACTTGGGGAGGGGAGAGAAAGGAGGACTGGAGTATTCTGGACAAAGGCATACTGGTTTAAATGCTCAACAGGAGCACTGCGCACGCTAGTACAGTGGTGCCTCGCTTAACGAGTGCCCCGTTTAACGAAAAAATCGCATAGCGATGGCTTTGTTGCCATCGCTTTTGCGATCGCACAACGATCTTGCCTATGGGGAAAAATCGCTTTGCGATTTTTCCCCATAGGCACCATTTTCCCCCAGCTGAGCGGCGGGAGCTTTTCAGTGCATTCCTATGGGAAATGGTGCTTCCCATAACGATGTTTTCACATAACGTTTTTTTTTTCTGGAACCAATTAACATCGTTATGCGAGGCACCACTGTATTTTGTTGCAGATCCTACTTATAAATACTAAAAGCAAATGTGGGCATTGAGTTATGGCAAATAGATAGGCAAAATGAGCTACTGAAAATCATGCTTAGGAAAACCTCATTTTTCACAAAAAAAGAGAGGCAATTCTTTTCCAGGAGGTGGGGGAACCCAAGGATAATAAACAGAAACGAAACAGCCCAATGAGGAATGAGCATGCTCAGTGGCAACAGAATGAAAGCCTTGTTTGGAAGATGGAATAAAACAACAGGGAGCAACAGGAATGGGAGGGAACTATCCTCAAAGAAGGCCTACAGATTGGGTGGCCAGAACTTCAGGCATTCCACCCTGCAAACGCTTCCCGGAAGGTCCTACTTGTTTCACCTCATTTTGAACATGATTTTTGAAAGGCATGGAGAGTGTGGGAGTAAAAAGAGAGATTAGACAATTAACAGCTTTAAGAAACTTTTTGCAGAAAGTGCTGAAATTCTATAGCCAAATTAATGGAGACAGGTATGGCTGAAAGAAAATGGCTTGGTCCCAAGCCCTTCAGAGCAGATGAGGCAGGGGAGGGAGGACATGAAGCTGGGCAGCAGAAACCCAAGGATGCCCCATGAGCAGAACTTCCCTTGTGGAGCTGGGGGTACAACCCAGCACTTTGCAGCACATGGGTCAGAAGAGTTGCAGCACAGTCTGAAGAACGGAGATATCCTTCGCAGCCTTATAAGTATGGAGAATAAAGAAGGGTCTTTCAAAAGAATATTTGATGCAGAAGAAGAGCAATATTTAGCCTTAAAGAAAACAGAGACTTTTCTATGGCAGCCCACTAAACTAATGTCTGATAGGAACTTTCAGTCAGATACTCTTCTGCTACACTTAGCTACTAGGCTACACTACCCTTGTGGTAAGTAAACATTGCAGATTTTACAGGTTGCCAAGGTAGGTTTAAAAATCATAAAATCAAGATAACTCACAAATATGGCAGCATGGAGACCCACATGTGCTCTAATTATTGTTATGATTATTATTCAAAAATTTCAGGCATGGTCAATCAAAATTATAAAAACACTGGCTTTTTATATAACAGATACGAGTTTTAACAGAAACCTAAACATCTGTTAAATAACAACATAGTACGTATGCTTTTCCTAATATTGTGTTTTTTTAAAGCTCTGGTGTTATTTCTAGAATCTGCAACTGCTTATAATACTGTGTGAAATGTCTTGATATTGATCCCTGTGGGCACCTCCTCCTACGTCACAGAGGAGCCGCCACTTCACACTCACATACACTTATCACACTGCCACCAACCACACACATATATCTGACTCCTCAGACAATGGTATGGATTTTAAAAATAAAAATGATTGTTTATTGATACAACGTAAGAGATAGCAAATCACAGTATAAACTAAATAAGGCAATCAATATCATAAAGTACCCCCTCATACACTCTCTCACACAGACCTTCACTAACACAGTACCTCATAACCTGCACATGCCCTAAGTCCCTAACAAGACCCTAACCAAGTCCCTCTCTAGTCCCTATCTGCCTCACACATCATTCACTTCCCCCTTATATACCTTAGCTCCACCCCCTG